CACGAACTTCGGCAAAGGGATATCTTTTCAAAGAGTTTATAATCATGCCGTACAATCGTTTATATATACATATATATGAAAACATTTTGTTAAAGTACCAGTTCCGCGGGAACATATGAACAAGGAATAAACATGGTGATGCATCAGGAAGATTATAATACTAGATTACTCAATGTAAATAAAAATTAAAGATCGTGTGTGTGCAAATAGATAGCCGTGTATAATCTTAAAATATCACACGTAGTCAGTGTATGACAACGTCTTTACACGTAACACCTTTACAATCGAAGCATACCAACGCAATCAAATCAGAAGTCAGAAATCAAGAGGTTAGCAAACACATGTGGTAAGCTATCGATAAGTCGAGTAACGTTTGATTTAAGTTGGCCAGCAGTCGACCGGGATGCATAGCACGGTGTGGCCGGACTACTTCAGCTTGGTGTGCCCAGTAAAACTACCGGTGTCATCATCACTGTCGAAGACTTACAGAACCGTACATTTCAAGGATCTATTTGACGCTGCGAATGCTTAGTTAACAACGGATTTTATTGTGGATGAATTGAGATAGGCAAAATGTTTTTGATACATCAAATACAGGTAACAGAGAGGTAAAAATGAAATGAAGTGATATCTGAAACAGTTATGAATAAAATCATGAGGATGTGAAACACAATTAGGGAGAGGGAGGAATGTTTTCAAATATGAAATGAAATAATAATAATAATAGTAATAATAGCCTAAGGTCAAGGTAACTATAATGGTAAGACTTACTCCTTTTTTACACACTGTTCTGGCTTCAACTCGTGGTTGGAAAGAGTTTCTATTGTTTTGAGGAGTTATATAGGATGAAATCTAGGTAGATTTAAACAAATCGCATGAAAAACATTTAAATAAAGCTGTGGATTGATAGAGTGATTAGAGGCGATTAGCTCTTCAAGAATGTAATTTCTAACTGCAGTCGTCCCACCCTTGTAGGACCATACTAGGACATGTTCTCGTATCCGAATCGACGGAGAGTATTGACTACAACGTATGCGCCTAGCGTCACAAGAACAGTTGAACTAGTCCGATGTATGACACAACCCGACAAAATAATAATCAAATCATGGACGAATACCCAGTTTCGCGAAAAATGACTTTTGATAATTTATCGCATCTCAGCTCTAGGATTAGTGAAGCGATCATTCATTGCCTCCTTCAACTCATTTGTAATGATAGGGGGATATGAAAAATCATGAATCACCAGGATATAACAGTATTAATACCTGAATCTCTTGAACATGCCGCGAATATACAATGCTTAACAACTCTGTCTTCTGGCACCTCTTCTAATAGGATTGTAGCGTAAAGAGAACGATGAAAGTCTCTCCGCAGCCTTTTTGTTGGTACAGTACTGTCATTTATTTGTTCCTTCTCCCTGTCGTATATTTTGACCTTTGTCCAGATCTCGTCTAACCACAACTTTTGTTCTTCAGCCTTCCTCGTCTGAGCCTTTATTATGTGATTTTGATTGAAAACTTATCCTTTGTTACCTACATTTCTATTGAATTTTGCCGGACTATTGACAGTAAGGTCGTGTTTGACTAGGTTCAAGGTCACGGCATAGTTCAGTGTGTGGCTGTTAACCTTTTAACTGTCTGCTTGGAAGGATTGATGGAATCCCTACAGATAGATATTTGATCCCATCTTGTTGGGAATTCTTTTATTGGTTCTCAGGTACCGAACCCTTTAGTATTAACTGTTTCTTTTATTGTTTAGCTCTCTACTTCTGACTGTGTAGAACAGGCTGTACCGTTTGAGGTATTTTGAATTTTTGATATAATTTGTTCTATCTCCCAAATTAGAACCGTTTATATTGAGCACAGAGTTTGTGGTTTGATATAATTTAGTACGAGTATCCCAAAAACACTTGGTAAGCTATACAGAAGAACGTAGTCTGGCCTATTCGAATACATTTTTGTCCGTCAGTTATGCTTTCAAATCGAATACTGGTAGTTTGGTCGTTAGAAGGATGGGTATCGTTACATTTTCAATTGGGAATCGACAATGAAGAGATGTAGAAATGTACTTGGATAATGGTTATTGTATTACGGTTTATGAAATCTAAGACAACTAGCTTTCAGAGGAGGTGCGCAGCACGGAGTACGTAAAAGTGATCTTGTGTTGGTGCCTGAACGATGTACTTCAACCAGTGAAGTTTGCAGTAAAACCAGTGAGGTCAGCAGAGATTAAGAATTAGATTTAGGGTTTTCATCACGAACTGACATAAGCTATAATGTTAAAACCTAATTTGGCTAGATGGATGGGTGAAATTCGCGCCAAAATCTGAGACCTGTTATCGTATATCTGATTGGTTCGTCCATAGATTATAGTCTTGCCGTAGTTTCTTCTTCTTTCAGTAGATCTGTAGTGGCATTGGACCATAACCATACAATCTTCAAAGCTGAACACAAGACTATTGAGAAAATAGATATTCAATATTTAACACGGAGAAATACCTAAGAATGGAGAAGGCGCGAACAATGGATTGAATTGACTGGAGTTGATCGGATGGCATGGCTCGACCATGCAGGCGTGGTCCATCTGAATGTTACCTTATATCTTCTATTCATATTAAATATATTGTTCCTTCTCTAGCCTAACCTTGTTCTACATCATGTATTGGTAATTGATACGATACAGTGAGTTGGTGTAGTCGATGGTGTGACTTCCACGTAAGATCTTATAGATTAGGCAGTTATATCATGACAAATCTACAAAATTTAGGATTAGGTCTATTATTAGAGCAGTACTAATATCATAGTAGGCCATAATTCTACAGATCCGGCAGGGCTTGAAACTTGTTGTTGAGATCTATCTTGAATTCATGGAGTTTGCCAGTATCTTGAGGAAAGATTGTGTTGAACCTTTGTAATGCTTTTTCTTCAGTTGTCCAGTGCTTCTTTAGCTTCAGTTTCATCTTGACAACCACCAGCCAGTGGTGATCTGAAGTTATGTCAACTCCTCTCCTAGTTCTCACATCTTCCACTGACCATGTGAATTTCTCACTGATGCATATATTACTTACTTACGCCTGTTACTCCTCGTGAAGGAACATAAGACGCTCACCAGCATTCGCCATCCAACACTGTCCTGGGAAATCCTTTCCAGCTCTTTCCAGTTGTTATTCATTCTTTCCATATCTGATTCTATTTCCTGACGTAATGTGTTCTTTGGCCTTCCTCTTTTCCGCTTCCTTTCAGGATTCCAAGGTAGGGCTTGTCTCCTGATGCAGTTTGACCATTTACGTAGTGTATGTCCTATCCATTTCCATCATCTTTTCCTAATTTCTTCTTCAGCTGGAAGCTGGTTTGTTCTCTCCCACAAAAGACTGTTGCTGATTGTATTTAGTCAATGGATGTTGAGTATCTTGCGTAGACAACCATTTAGAAATACTTGTACCTGCTTGATGGTGGTTGTTGTAGTTCTCCAAGTTTCAGCTCCATACAGTAGAACTGCCTTGACGTTGGTATTGAGGATTGTGACTTTGATATTGGTTGAAAGTTGTTTTGAGTTCCATATGTTCTTTAATTGTAAGAATGCTGTCCTTGCTTTGCCAATCCTCGCCTTTACGTCTGCATCTGATCCTCCTTGCTCATCGACTATGCTTCCCAGTTATGTGAAGGATTCTACATCTTCCAGAGTTTCGCCATCAAGAGTGATTGGATTGCTGTTCTCTACTTTGAGTTTGAGGACCTTGGTTTTCCCTTCGTGTATGCTGAGGCCTACTGATGCAGAGATGGTCGATCTGATTCTCAGTGGTGTGATCCAACGAGACTCATGTCGCTTAGTGTATGCGTTTGTGTGGGAATATTGTGCTATCTGTAACCAATTTGTTGAATGCACATGGATTTGCAAATCTTCCCCCATTTTTGTTTCTCTATACCAGTCCATGTCGTCCCATAATATCTTGTTACATGATATTAGATAACATTCATTGTAATTCTCTCCTTCATTGTTTTGAAGGATGGTTTAGTGATTCTGGGTCCATGAGATTCACACCCTACAAGTGCATTTCGTGCTTCTTTGGATAGCATGTGTGAGGCTTTGTTTGTGCATAGCATTAAGTTTTTCATCAGCAGACTACAACAGCATGCCTCTCGAATACAATCTATCCTGTGCGGCTTGGGTCCAAAGGGTTTCATTTATTCCACAAAGTTGTATCTCTTGATTTCCATATCTATTTGATTGGTTCTCCTAGTCTCCTACACTGTCCGGACATTCTATGTGCTTATATTATTTCCCGCTCTAGTTGTTGGGGTAGTAATCAGCCTTGTGATTTCCGATGAATCTCGACCTTCACCATGAGGCTTTATAGCTCTTCCGAATGAAGATGCTTCAACTCGCAGGACTGGTTTTAAATGGTTGATTGTTTTTATTTATTTATTTGGCGTTTTTGTAAGCAATGCTGTGTTTCTTTGGGATGAAATTGATAAGTCCATGACTTATCTTTTTCCCTTGCCCGAGCTTGGGACCGATAGTAACCCTGGAGAGGCTTCAGGTGGAGTTTTTAGCTGACCAATAAAAATAATAGAATATCTCAACTCAGCTAATACTCCGAAACGTATAAAAAGAATGGGTTAGTAGAACGCAAAAGCAAATATATACAAAACATTTCAGTTAATATATGTTTATAATGCTGACAAAGGAATAGAAACAGTTCCAAGGAATCTTAGATATAGACCCAAATTTTCACTGTGTGGTTGACAGAAAATATACTGCATAACGAGCTGAAGCGTGTGCGATGTGATTATAAGTAGACAATTAGATGACGGCGGCCAACAAATTTAGCAAGAAGTGTGTATGTGAGCCTCTGTATACAAAATATCATGCGCATAACAAACTGGAATAATAGAAGCCAACTTGGGCAAAATGCTATAGGGAGAGTTTTTTTGTTTAGATAAAGCGGAATTACAAAAAAACAACAAATAACAGCAAAAACTGTCTACAAATTAAACTTATTTTAACCATACCTATAGGTTTATGGTATCAAGAAGTCGTTAATTTTCATCAATAAGTATTCTTTCCTTAAAGTCAAACTCGTATAATAAAAGCAGACAGCAAAGTTCGATCTTATGAAGTGTTTTTATGCAGTAAATTCTTTCAGAGTTAGACCTTCAAAAGCCGCTGAGTATGTTTTGTAGGCAGATGTGGTTTCTCCCTCTATTTCAGAGTAAGCAGTTTAACTTTTGTCTCATCATCACTTTTCGCATGAAATTCATTCTGATAGTTTACTAACGATTTATTTCTTCATAATCCTGTATTTTGATCCATCTTATCGTTTCAAAAAGATGGATAAATTCGATTGTATGTACACTTTTTCAAGGACAAGCTAAAGAAATCCTGAATGGTTGAATTTCGCTCAGATTCTTACCAAAATCTTTCAAGATATTTTTTTATGCCTCCTAAAAACCGATTTATCGGGTTAATCAAATTCAGACAGATCCCATGACAATTCTGCCCTTTTGCATAACCTTGCGGAAAATATGAAATATACGTGTAGAGTTTCGTGTTGTAAGTAATGAGCCACCTAGCTCAAAGTAGAAACATCTTTTTATAGCGAAGATGTATACCTTGCGTTATATTATCAATTAAATATTGAATATCTAGGTTCTCAAAAGATCCTAGATTTGTTATTTTATTCTTATAAACGTTTAAATCTGACAAATGTGTTTTATGCTCATATTCACGCAGGTACATCTGCAGGTTTTCGTGAACTGTTGGTTTCAAATAAGTACCATTCTAAGCTAAGAAAAACTTTAAAGAAGACTGCATACAATGCAGTCTCCACATTCGTGTCATACTTTTCTCACACTGATCTCTACTCGTAGTTCCAAATAAACTTGGTCAATCTACTTCATATAATTTCTCAGGACAATTAAAATATTGTTCTAACGTGCAGTTAAGCTATGAACGTTTGTGTAGTTAATACTAGTCTCAAATACACATGCTTTTAATTGAAATAGGTGTAGATCGGTTTGTTTTAGTTGTTTATTTCAATCATAAGCATGATAATTGCCAAGACACTACTCGAAGATTGAATGTTACTGATGTAGCTGCTCTTTGTTTCCAAACTGTTAAGTGATTCGTACGATTAGTCATACAATTATGACTAGTCCACGCATTTCGAGAGTAGGTCGGAGAGGTCAGGAAACTCTACACTACAAAACATTCAGTGTGTTCCAGTCTTAAGATGTAAATATTTTCGTCTTCATTTTAGGATGTGCAGTCTGGTAACTGAAGCCAGTCCATACTTGTTTCTCGCTATACATTTATTTTGAGTGTTATTCCTGTGAAACTATTGTAAACGTGGCTTTAGTCTACTAGACAATTGTTGACCGCGCGCTATCTAAAAAGGACAGTGGTATTGTTTCTCGTTGAATTAGTTAACTGTTTTGATAGTAAATTACGTATCAAAACTACGATTTACACCTTAATTGAATCTACTACAGTTAAAGTGATATTCTATTGAGTTTTTTTGGCTTTTGTGTATTTATTACATTCGAAAGCATTCTTGGTCTGTATCAAAGTACTTTAGTTAAGGCTTAAAATCTTGCTAAAGTTTGTCTTGTGGTAACCTTTTATTCGTTGACTGACATTTGTTTTCATACTGTGATCATATTGTGTGTTACACCTTGATCTGACTAAAATGGTTGGTAGTACTCACAAATGTGGACAACCGAACTGTTTGTTCCCTATGGAGGAAGGAATACAGTGTGACGAATGCAATAAGTGGTTCCACAAAATGTGCACCCGTTTAAGTCCCATCGCATACAAAAGATTTTCGAAGCCTAACTCACATTAGCTTTGCATGTTCTGCTGTGCCAACAAGGCATTACTAATACAGGAGGCTATGAGCCTATTGGCTTTGGCCTTTAAGAAGAACGATGGCATATGCGCTGACAACACGGGGACTGACAGTGACAAATGTGTCAGTGTAGTACCTGCTGTTACGCGACGCCTCAAACAACCGACTCTGACCAACGTAAAAGTGAAATTTCCGTTGACATTAACAGGGGGAGTAGTACCAACTGGTACTGACATTGTTAATAATGGGAACCGAAGATCTGGATAAAACAGTCACCGTTCCAAATCGTCCCAGTGTTATGAGGGATGAAAAATGGACTACGGTACGTAGGAAACGAAACGAAAAGAAAAAAGCTGTGAGCAGTACACAGGTAGTTAGTAACTCACTGGTGGACTCAAATTATGAGCCACAAATTGCACTACCAAGATCTGATGGTAAGAGTCAAACCCATCCTGGCGTGACTGAGAAGAAAAATCTAATAACATCGAATATTATTGTGAGCAAAATGCGGGAGTCAAACGACCCTGATCCGAAAATTAGACACGCGCATGACTTAGAAAAGCTAGGAGAATACATTCGTAGTATTTTACCATATAACTCCAATGGAGTTTAGGTCAAAAAATTGGTTAGAATAGGCAAGAGGACCGAGGACAATGTTGAACCCCGTCCATACAGACTCCTTAAGGTAATCCTAGGATCGGAGAAGCAACGGGATCTCTTGTTAAGTAGCTCTCGTTGTCACGACAATTCTGACATCCGAGTTAGACCTGACATGTCTCTCGAAGATAGAATAAAAAGGAAGAAAGCACTAGCTGAACTTGAAACTCGTCGGCAAAACGGCGAGGAAAATCTACGGCTAGTGGGTTTTCGGATAGTCAGGTCTTGGAAGTGAATGCTACCAAGGTCTGTGTGGATAGGCTGTTCTACTTAGGAGTTTTATATGCCAACGCTCGTAGTCTACGAAATAAGTTCTATGAATTAGAAGCACTAGTGGACAGGTTAAAGCCACTCATAGTAGTAGTGACAGAAACTTGGTTAGTCCATGACTTAGACATTACTCCAGAATTATCCGGATACCATTACATCAGGAGTGATAGACATAGATGTAGAAAAGGAGGTGGCGTCCTGTTATATATAGCCAATAGCATAAATATCCGCTTTTCTACTAGCAAATCCCATGATAGCGGTACTTGCGAAGTCATTAGCTGTAAGTTGGCTATAGGATGTAGTACATTTATGCTAGGTGTCATCTATCGCAGCCCAATCTGCTTAGCTGATGACTTTATTTTAGAGCACATTCATCTTTGGAGTGAAAATACCAGATGCTTGATAATAGGAGACTTTAATGCACCTGATATTAGTTGGACTGAGATGACCACAGAAGGATCTATAAACTCCTTTGATAGTAGGTTCCTGATAACAATAATGCAGCATGCACTAGTGCGGCATATATCCCAACCCACACGTTTTGGTGTTAACCAGGGTTCTTCTCTGCTGGACCTGGTAATCACTCATGAGACGGAGGATATTGTCGACTTAAATATTCTTCCACCGTTAGTAAACAGCGATCACGCTGTTTTGTCATTCACGTTTAGAACTAGGGACATGTTATACGATCAGGTTACACCCCGCCGAAATGTATGGAAAGCTAACATATCAGCTATTCAGGAATGCGCTGCTAAGACAAATTGGTTAGTAGATACTAGCATATCAGTTGAAGAAGAATGGTCTGTATTTAAAGGTAAATTTAGACTAGTTACGTCCCCGTTCATATCATACCTGGTACCGCGAAGACCGAATAACAGTCCACCATGGATAACTAAAACGGTCAGGAAACTCCTTAGAAAAAGGAAGAATCACTGGAATATGTTCATCTCTACTGGCTTAGAACAATACAGATCCAGTTATTGTAAGATTAGGAATGCCTGTAAAGCGTTAATAAGCAAGACTAGACTATCATACGAAAAACAATTGGTTAGGGATTCTAGATATAGTCCAAAACAGTTATTCTCGTATATAAAAAGGCGAAGTAAGAGTAGCGATGGAATTCCATCACTTTTGATACGAAATAATCCGTTAATCTTAGCAGAGAATGATGCCGAAACAGCTGAAGCTTTATCGAAATATTTTAGTAAAGTGTTTTCTATCGGTAATGAGGAACGACCAATGATTCATCGCAACCGTGACGGCTCGCTGATGGATCCTGTAGTCATTGAGAAAGGTACTGTTTTAAGGCTACTTCAGCATCTCAAATCTGATAAGTCCAGTGGTCCTGATGATATTCATCCTAGGATTATGAAAGCCATATCAGATGAAATTGCTGAACCATTAGCGATACTATTCGACATGTCTCTGAGACAGTCCAGATTTCCTAGAGACTGGAAAGACGCCATAATAAGTCCGGTGTATAAGGCTGGGAGTAGGGATTTAATTAGTAACTATAGACCCGTTAGCTTAACTAGTGCATTTGTAAAACTGATCGAGAAAATCATTCGGATAGCTGTTATAAAGTATTTTGAAGGGCAAAATCTTTTCTCCAGGGCACAACATGGTTTTCGGAAAGGCCTATCTTGCTTGACAAATCTTCTCATTGCACGAGAAGATTGGGCTGCGGCAAAGGATCGGAATGCCCCTGTGGATGTGATTTTCATAGATCTAAGTAAAGCCTTTGATAAGGTTTCCCATTCTGGTCTTAAATTCAAACTGGAACGTTTTGGAATCCATAACACAGTCGTCGATTGGATAAGTAACTTTCTCCACGACAGGAGACAAAGGGTGAGAGTTAATGGGGCTCTCTCCCCGTGGGTACCTGTAAAAAGTGGGGTTCCCCAAGGTACAATCTTAGGTCCTCTTCTCTTTTTACTTTATGTAAATGAATTGTCAACTGTAGCAAAATCATCCGTTCTACTCTTCGCTGATGACATAAAGATTTGGAGACCCATACATAGTATGTCGGATAGAATAGTATTACAGGACGATCTTAGCTCATTGGTGGCATGGTTAGACAGGTGGTCACTAGAAGTAAATCCTAATAAGAGTGTAGTGATGCAGTTAAATAACTCTGATGAATCGTATGACTATACACTACGTGGATTCGTGCTACCCAAAGCAAGAAACTATAAAGATTTAGGAGTCATATTAAGCAATGATCTCAAAACCACTAGTCACTGTAAGGCTGCTGCTGCAAAAGGCTATAGGGTATTATGATCAATTCGTAGGTCTTTCCAGTATTTAGATGATGAAATGTTTAGATTATTATACCCGATTTATGTGCGACCACATTTAGAATACGGGATTCAAGTAGTGTGTCCTTGTTTCAAATATGAATCAGATATGCTAGAAGGAGTCCAACGACGAGCTACTAAGATGGTACAAGGTCTATCTGGCCTATCTTATGAAGACAGACTGAGACACCTTAACTTATTTCCGTTATCTTACCGTAGAATACGGGGTGATCTAATATTGGCCTATCGTATACTGAACGATGACCTTGGTATTAACATGTCTTATCTTTTGCTTCTGTCTAGAACCGATCATTTGAGAGGACATCCGAAGAAAGCTCAAAAACCGAGATCAAATCGTTTACGTCTGGGGTTCCGTTTCTCTCACCGAGTAGTGAATCACTGGAATTCTCTACCGGAACACATAATATCAGCACCGTCTGTTAATATATTCAAAACGAGGTTGGACCTCCACAGTATTACAAACTGCAAGGATTAATATAGGTCGATAGACCTCCTATCCTTATTACTGAAGACTGTTAAGTATGTAGTAAGGCTTATATTCAGTCAGGATTCGTTAAAAAATGTCACTATGCTACAGTCTTTGTATCTCCTGTTCATTGAGTTGGTTTGACAAGATCTTGAGAATATATATCGGACTAAATGTGGTAAAATTACGTAGCTCTGACATCAATAAAAAATGCCCAAGTCGATCAAGTTCGTTAATTCTACTTTAAACCATGGTTTTTACACAAGCGCTAGTAAAAATACTTGACCCTCCAAGCTGAATTAAGGAACTTTTCATACCTGAAACACGATAGTCGGAAGTTAAGTAGTTAAATCATTAAGCTTCTGCTGTACTAGCCAATCTAAATAGAATCATTTACATTTGTAAAGTAATGAAATCGACCAAAACAAATGACTGTTTCATACCTTATTTTGTGTTCACTCAATCATACGTTACTGTTCAGGTCTCTTCTACCTCTTAAAGGCTTCACGGTATTATTCTATAGGGGGTCTTTGTTTCCACTTATGGTATACTAGAGTTTTGAGTTTAACATTGGATGTGTAAAGATTGGCTTAAATATTTATCAATATGCTGCTTTAATGTTCTTATTCATCAATTTATTGTTTGATCTTAGGAATTGAGACTTTTGTCCTCCACCTTAGCTTCTAGAATCATTTCTCTCGTGTGCTTTTCTTAAAAATGTCCGCTTTGATTGCGACAGATTTATAAGGTGCTTGGTTCAATAAACGAGGCAGAGAAAATTCTTTTTACGGTCACAATACCATAGGATTCCATGGTTAATATTATGACTGATTATCAGAAACAATTTACTTGTCAACTATGAAAACCAGTTACAAGAGCATTACAGCCATATTTGGAATCGAAATCAGAACTAATTATCACTGTCCTACTTATTAAAATTAAGTGAAAGTATTAGCGTTTGATTTTCAAATCCCATTTGCTCAGCAGCTATAAGGTACACTTTTGCTTGTTTCATTAAGTTATCCACGCAACGATGTATAATAAAATTTCAGTATAGTTTTATGGGAAACATTGCTCAATGTACCTGTTCTTCGAAATTTGCATTCTTGGGACTTTTCCCGAGACATTTTAACTTTTTAGGAGGAAAGACATCCTTACACTGTCCTCTTTTATTTCAGCTGCTTCTAATTCTTATGTGTCCGCTAAATAGCTATGATTCGTCTACTTTTTGGGATAACGTTTGCCGTATCATGTTGGATCCTTCAAGCCTACTCGGTGACATATGAAGCCAATTTGGATGAACCATATAGTGGTGAAATTTCACAGGATCAGAAAATTGAATACCAGTTTACTCTTGCAAATCGTAGTGTATGATATGCATTTTTTTACAATTATTTTCCCTTTTGAATTTAATATAATTTTAATAGGAATTTGTTATTCGAGTACATGTAGTAAATTACAACCCGAAACTAGATTATCCTATGTTAGTGGTGATCAAGCAAGTGGACAATGTAATGTCATTCCAAGCACCAATGGTTCTTAATTCTATGTAAGTTTTTTCCCTTCTTGCACTTATTCCTTTTGTTTAATGCACACAAATAGATCAGTACACGGTAACGTTAGTCGCACACTGTGTCCAATCAAATTACTGCCTGGAGCAGTTCGAAAACTCACAGTAGAGTTGTCTAATGCTGTTAAACCACCTGGAAAAGTGCGTTACATGTTTCTGGCTCAGTTAGTTCCTGATTTCGATTTGGAGTATGTCAAATTACTCATATAACAGACCTATATTTAATTTTAGGCCGGGCCTTGAAAGAAGTATAGTAGTCTCACCTGCTGAACCTATCTATTTACGATACCTTTATCCTCCAGGAAAAAATTCAGCAGAAATTAAGGTTGTTTCAAAAAGTGATATATGTATGGTTTTGTCTATCCAAAAACTGCAGGTAGGTTTTCCTTTTAACCAGAGATAAGTTTATTTTACAAATAATTTCAGTGTCCTGTCAATGATTTATCCGATACGGTGGGAAACACTGGGTTACATCAAACAGTCACTACTTTGGGTGCAATATCCATTGATGTAAGTAATGTGTTTTAATTCCTTAAAACTTTAAATAAATTAATCTAGGTGACTCAATTCCTCAAAGGATTTTTCCTCGTTCTAGTGTTGAAACCAACAGACTATGCTTGTTCCGGCATCGAAGATCTAATTCCACCATTACCAGGTAATGTGCACCATGGATTTTATCTTCTGATTAAAAAAATACTTCAAAAAGGCAGCAATATATATATATATATACAATTGATTGGTTCGTAACATACTGTGCCAAACTACTCGAAACTCCAAAAAATATTTTTTATTTGGAAATCTGTGTGTTTGATAGAGTATAAACTGTACCTTCGTAGTTGACACCATTGGTTTGGAATCATGGTTTTCCAACTCCCCTAGATGGACTCTCCATGCCCACTAGCCCGGTTAAAGCGCCGGACATTCGCTTTTCGTCCTCTCAATTTCGTGAACAACACACCCGCCACGAGAGTACGGTAAGTAGGACTTCTCTGGCAAAGGCTATATGAGAGCCATATGAGGCCATATGAGAGCATTTCGAGGAGAGCTGACTGTCCCTACTCTCGGCCGTACTAGGGCATTTGGGGGCCTTGAGGTTAGTAGTAATTATTGAAGACAACAAGCAACTAGGACAAAACCTGTTGTAATGATGTTGTTACATTTACTAAGTGTCTTTTTTCTGGATCTGAAATGTCTGGTTATTATTATCATAGGCCGAGTTTCTTGACTTCATACTATTTTGGACCGGTAAAGTGTTGTTAGATTTATTTATTTTGTTACCAAAGTGAAAGCTCTTTGGGTTTGTGCATGTGAACATATGTGAGAAATTATTAGACAATGAACACCACCGTTTTTCTGTATCCTCAACTTATTGTTATGGTATTTGACTTTCAACCACTAGGTCTTAGATTCTTGACTTGTTGCATTTCAGTTAGTAAGTTATATTTCGAGTTTTACATTAAACTTCCTAAAAATTGCCAAATGAGAGATATATCGAGTCACATGATAGAATCAGTTCCAAATAAATCAAAAAATTCTCTTTATAGTGTTCTAATATTTATTGTCTGTACTATGAGTTTGAAGGCTCATTATCAGTTTTATATGATTCAATACTGAAGCGACTGACATATGTGACGTATATACATGTACTATCTGTTAGTGCAAATCGATAAAATGACAAGTAGAAATCTGTAAATTATCTGTAATACATGAAATGTCAGCTTAAACTAAAGTGAATTGTTATTGTAAATAATCATTCACTGCAGTATACAAACCAAACATCACTAAACCTGAAGAACTAGCTATATTCATTTATTTTGCTACATCCCATAGCTAAAAAGTGATACAAGATTTTAACTAAAATAAAATATTGACTAGAACAATGAAAAACGCATGAAGGATCTTCGTGTCTTTTCTTACAAACAAATCTCCATTTCTTCTGGAGTAAAACATTTAATGGTTCTCATTTTCTAACTTTGGTCAAAGAGTGTACTGTACACGACCAAACCATCCAGCTCAGAGAACAAAACTCCACCAAAAGTGTACTGTACTATTCGGGCGTGGTCCCCTAAGAAAACCACCTGCTTTGGTTTTGGCACCCGGGAAGTATCCCAGCCCTCGCACAAATCGAATGATTTATGTGGTGCATATCTATTTGGTGCCTCCTTGTACCGATGTTTATATGTTTAAATAAATAAATAAATAAACTGTTCTTTTACAATAAAAGGAATATTTGAAGCAATCAAGTTTTTTCTATTACTGGTTCCAACTGAATAAATTCCGAGGCATCAGTTCTGTTGAATTTTTTGGTAAAATTACCACTCATGCTTTTATTTGTATACAACACCATTCACACTAAAAGCTTCTATCCTTTTGATCTAATCATCCAACGAAAGGCATATGTATTTATGTATGTTAGATAGCTGAAAGCGATAAGCAGAGAGTTCTGGATTTTGGTGCTGTTCGTCACACGTTAGCAAGGTGTACCTATACTCTTGTAGGAACTGGTGTTCCCTGAATCACCAAAAGTTAATCAGCTGTCTGAATAGCTCAATGATAACGTCTCCAACTGTTACTATCGGAGACCTAAGTTTGATATTCACATGAAGTGTCAGTTCCTAAAAAATGTTGTTCGGTACTATAGATATATATGTACGAAAAACGTTTAGGTGATTTATCTTCTTGTCCTTACACTGTGGTCTGTTACATCGTCTGGTTATTCATATGGAAATAAGTTCTAAACTAAGTTGTAGTTTTTCCACGTAAATTGCATCCAGTTCATATCGGAAAACTAGTCAATGTTTAAAAGTTTTTCTTTTCGTATTTTGAAAACGTTAAGTTATTACAATCTGATATACTATTTTATTTCCTGTAAAGTATCATTCAGTCATAATTATATATGAATATGTTTATAAAAATGGTTCAGTAGTCTAAGCATTACAGCAATTGTAACCAATCACAGAGTAGTGAACTAATTTATTATATCATGCAAAATTACTCACTGCATTTGTAAAATACGAAAACAATACACTGAAATACTATTTGCCCATCTTTCTTGAATTGTCTTTTAGAAATTCCATTGTTCTTTCATTCCTGTTGCTACTCCGACTGCTTTTGTTTTTCTGTCTCTTCTTACTTTCCTGTTCTGTCAGTAAGAATGCTACTTCCAATCCCTGATACTTACTACTTATATTTGTTCGTATAAGTAGCACACACCACAATAGTATCATTGGTTGAAATCGATTGCGGTTATTAGGAGTTCATTAACATCTGTAAAACATAACCGAATGGATATAGTTCACAATCTCATATATATTATTTTTATGCATTTAATCAATGACGTTTCTACTTTTCACTTTCACTGTTGATTTTGAATCAGTAAACCTTATTTCGACTTATCGAACTGTTTATTGGCTGTTAAGAGTTTTCAGTGTTTATATATTGTTCGATAAGAGGAAGGGTTCTTGTTAATTGGGAATTTTATCTTATAAAACAACAATCCAATACATTGTTATTGTATCAAGTTCTTTGTAGTCTTAAATTTTCCATCATTGTTTTTCTCCCTCTTTTTCCTAGATCAAGGCTTATTTTCACATGAACCACAGATAAATCTCTCAGGATCTCGAAGTAAATCTGTTAAAATACTAATTAATTCAACACATAGGAGTAAGTTTGGTTATTATGGTTGCTTTCATTTTCCCTTAATGATTATTTTGCCCGATAGATTAGTACTAATATTGAAAACTTGTAACGGGAACAAAACTCATTCTAAGTAAAATAACTTGGTATAATTATTGATGGAATGAATTCATCTATAATATTTTACAGTAAATCTTTGATGTACTTTACCAGTTAGTATTTTGCCTTTTATTTGAGCATTGTTAATTGATCAAAACGTAGGACCTAGCATAAATATACAATGGGGCGAGTTGTTGCTCTCTACATCTTTAAGATAAAAATCTAAAGGAGTCGATAGGATTTCACTGATAGTGTGAAACGAATCGTGGGAAATATTTTTCAATAATAACGAATAGAGTGGGGGTAATAAAGTGTATGAATATTAGGATATATAATCAAGAATGAATCCTTTTTTAACCTACTTTATACCACTTCACTAACTGGAGATTATGGTATTCTTACAATCCCAAACCAGGAAACCCACACTTCCCAGTACTGTTCAAACTAATCTTAGATGGCTTTATAGAAAGGTATCATACTAGACTGGTTGCCCTTAACGTTTTTAAACCTGTTCATATGCTTGCGCTCAATCAAAGTAATCTAGTGAGATCTTTGCACTGAATGGATGTGCTGAATGGAAGTCAATATAACGACTAGAGTGTTTAGTTTTTCGGCAGATAGATTTCGTTTAACTAAGCAATCTAAAAATCACAGTTCATCATGCTCATTTCCATTTTCGTTCTTAAATTTAATGTGCGATTAAAGTGTATTGATCCGTTTCGAAAAAGATCTTAAATGAATCCTTTTTATGACACCAAAAGTATCTACATATCTAAGCTAAATTCGTGGTTTAAAGTCATTGGCAAAATTATTTGATTCCATGTATGCTATAAACAGGTTGGCTACAATCGGGGACATGGGGGATTCCTTTGCTAAGCCGTTAGTTTGTTTGTATAACATCTCGTTAAAAGTAAATAGTGTCGAATTTAAGCAGAGTTTTAAGGATTTCATGATTAGATTAATGCTTAAAGGATACCTATCAGAAAGAGTATTGTCGTTCTCAATAAACCAATGATGAATTCTAAGCATTTATCAATAGGAATACTAGTGTATAATGAAATAACATCATAGCTTACCATGACTTCATTTATTTGAAACGATATAATTGTTTGGACGAAGACAAGCGAATGATTTCACAGCATGTAGTATTGTTTTTATTCAGAATTAGGGATGAGTTCTTGGTAAAAGAGGCATAACTACTAAGTTTAAGATCAGATCAATCCGTCGTAACTCTGTCATTAGAGCTTCGTGTGCACTTAAAAAAATCTTACTAATAGCACTGAATTTCCTCCTATCATGGAACATTTTCAGTTTTAATAATGCAAAGCTTGATTCCTGGTAACGCAACATAAGGTCAAATATTGGTTTTCCAGAGAAAATATGTTGCTACCAATACATATAAGATGTATGACGTCTTTTTATCATAACCAGCGAGGGTGAGAGTGTTCTCATATTGAAGCAGTTACCACTGTTAACTGATCTTCAATCTACAACTCTATCACAAGATGTTTTGCGGAAATCCCCTTGTCAATGAATCAGTCCCTTTTCTTGTCAATAAGTCTGAAAACAGTATTCTTCTAGCCTTACTGTACAAATTATCCCAACTATTCTTAAACTCATGCGTGTTTTATGATTATTGTAATTTTCATCTTTTTTCTCTACGTAAAACTGACTTGTTTATTTTGAAGGATGGCCGTATTTATTACCCATACTTGGAGCTGTCGGTATTTACTTGCTTTTCTACGTGGTCACAATTATTATCATATTACTGTATCACAGAGCGTAAGTCATAATGATTTCGTCTAAAAAACTTTTATTCGTAACATCAAGTTACACCTTGTGACTTTATATATTTCAATTTTTAACTATGATCCATATCTTTACATTTCACTGTATATTTTGTCAAGTTTAGTAATGCAGTATTAAAAATAAACATTTTTTCTCAGGATATATCATTTCCAAGTAATAACAATACTGAATAGACTGAATCACTTATTCCTTTAGTTACAAAACTATTATTCATGAGTGTATTATTCATTATCTTTAGCCGGACATTATTCTTCACATTCCTTAGTTGTACTGTTTCTTAACATGCTTCATAATATGAATCATTTCCCAAATGGTAGAAGCAAAATCGATTCGCCCTTTTCATTTAGTTCTCAGCTGATCCAGTGATAAAAGACAACTGTTAACCAAGATATTTATTACGATCACAAAAAAAGATCGATGTGCTCATTCGTTCATTGTATTTAAATTTATGAACACGATTTCATTAAAATCAATGTGACTGAGGTTCATTAGACTAGGATAAGTTGTTATTGATCAATGAAATGTCATTTTATTAACTAATCATAGGAATTGTACAACCTTTAATCTCAGTCTTTAGTTGTTTTATTTTGATTCATATTACTCTCTTATTGTTCTTATTGAGTCGGTATCTTAAGTGTAGTCCGTTTTCATCTGTATGTATCAAACCATAAAGGTGGGACATAGTAACTGACACAACAGAAAAACAATTAACTCAGATTTTTGTGAAATAAGTCCTTAAAGTTTAAGCCTTTATAACTCTCCTAGGTTCTTTCCATAGGAATACGTAAAATATTGATTGTCTAATCAGTATTATGTTGTATAATCTGATTAAATTATTAATTTTTATATGATATCCTTACATATCTTATTTTCAATGTATTGACACTATTTGATACTCTTTCACTTGTCTGACGTTGATGATTCATGCATTAGGCTGTGTAGCTTCAAAAACTAACTTATGCGTAATTCAATTTAAATAGATAAAGTTAGTAGTATTGTACTGGAGGAGAACACAGGTGAGGACAACTGAATTGTATTTAGCACACAATTACAGAGTTACATGGTAAAATAGAAAAACCATATAGTAAATCGTTAATTTACAAAATATCAATGCATCATATAAACCTGGACTGTTCTTGTTGCAAACATCAATCAATCGTCTCACATTTCATTGTTCATGCGTTTTCTTACAAGTTGCATTGTGTTGTCGCTCTTCCTTTATTGATCTTTCCCCATCTTCTGCTACCAGACATTGCGTTTTTAACTCGTGTCATATACTACTTACATCGATATAAGTAGCACACACCACAGTATCACTTAGTCTCTAAATCAGTTAGTGTTTCTCGAAGTAAAATAAAAGAAACACCACTTGATCAGTAAGTTCCGTTAAAATGTATACAAATTAGCTTATACTATAAATAAATAATATATTTGTAATATCCCAATGAGTAGAAAATGAGATTTTCTGACGTTTCGTGACTTAGTGTAAGCCACTTCTTCAGAGAATAAATAACCAAATTAAAATTAATCCAAGTTTAAATTGTACAACGGAACAAAATTAGCTTATGCTGTTTTTCTGTGAAAGTTAATCTTCTTGTAGGAAAAGTTTAAAATTAAATTCTTTATATATTTTCTAATGTTTCGGTTATTTTAATTTCGATTTTTCTACTCTTAGAGAAAGAAGAAAAAGATTTCTTGATGGTACGTCTAAATACTGTTCATTTTTCAATAGAAGTGCCTCACAAATTATAATGCTTATAATTTTTATTTCATTTTCTACGTGTATAATGTAGTGCATGTTATTTAAATACTAATATAACGAATCATTACTTACTTACTTACGCCTGTTACTCTCAATGTAGCATAGGCCACCGACCAGCATTCTCCAACCCACTCTGTCCTGCACCTTCCTTTCCAGTACTATCCAATTTTTGTTCATTTTCCTCACGTCTGTCTCCATTTCTCTACGTAATGTGTTCTTTGGTCTTCCTCTTTTCCTTTGGCCTTGAGGATTCCAAGTGAGAACTTGTCTTGTGACGCAGTTGGCTGCTTTCCTCAACGTGTGTCCTATCCACTTCCAGCGCTCTCTCCCTATTTCTTCCTCCGCTGGAATCTGGTTTGTCCTCTCCCATATAACAAATCATTAGTTAATATGAATAGACTTTTGATTAGCGAAACACTTCAAATGATTTACTTGTAGTATAGTGTAGCTAATTACCTTGTATATATGCAGCTTCGATCTACACTGTTTATGTGAATTGTTTTAACTTTTGCCCTTGTCAATTATTATATGACAAAATCATTAATCAGAATACAGATTTATATGATTCATTCGAAATATTTTTCTCATTTTTATAAGAAATTTCATCAAAAATATGTGAATTATTACGACAAATCATATCCGGTAAAATAACATGAAAAATATGATAAGAAGTTGATTCATTAGAAACTTTTGTCTCTATGATTTTGAGTTTCATTTGTGTTGCTCTATTTATTTTCTGAATATAGATCCCTCCAGGTTTCTCAATAAATATTGCATGAAACATAAGTTTGTTTTGTTTGGAGTTTAGTTTCAGTGTTATGTAAGGCCAATAAGGCTTCATTTAATTCTGGACTCAGAGCATCATTTACAGAATCTTCTGTTTTTCTGTCCTCCGATACTGCCACAATTTCATATACATTTCACAAAAATTCGCCTTGCTGTGAGCTTGACAATTCACTAATTGTATATTCTGCTTCGGGCGTAAATTGATTTGAACCCATAACAGAGCATGTTCCTGAAATATCCATTGCTGGACCACTGGATAATACATTTAATTTAAATCGTTCTGCCTGTGAATTCACTCTACTGACGTATGTAGTGTAGTATTCGTTAACTTCTTTAGTCAACTGTAGACAATTATACCTGATACGAAATGGTGACATCTGTTCACAAAACGTTTTATTTAAATTGTTGACAGTTTCATCGAAATGAACTTCTCGTGGATGTCTAAGCATGATATGATTTTCATACTTCTGATACTCATTGGGACTAAGTCTTTTACGTCGCCCATAGCGGCAGATTATACTCAGAAAATATCTTCTTTTCTGCCAAACCATTCCTCAAATGTATGACCACTTTCTGCATCAAAAATAAATCCTGAGATTGTTTTGCAAAAGTATTAGTGTAATTTAATGATATTATGTGAATTCATCTAATGGTATGTGGGCTGCATGCGATGTATGTAGTCTCATTTCGACTAATTGTCTTATACTTATGGTTAATCTTATTTCAGATAATCAAGGTAGAACTACATCTCCATAATAACGTTTTAATAAATTGTTTTACTTTTTTCTTGTGCAACTGAAAATGCGTTTTTTTAATACTTTATTTTGTTTGTATGTCGTGATCAAGTACTTAACAATAGTGAGTTTTCCTTTCTTACATCAATATTGTAACCATGTTTAAAATTGTGAAAAACTAGTCTAACACGTGTTCTATTTGATTAGACCTAAGAAATTTAAACGGATTTACATTGGGATGCATATATGTCAATTCGCCAAACTCTTAATCTATGCGACAGTACATATTATATTGTCTACTGTTCTAATCACCAGTTTTTGCACTATAAGAAACTTAAGTCTACTAACCTCACATAATCGTTATACGACTTAAGAAAGGCAGGTTGTATAGTAAATAAAAATGTCTACTAAACACCAGAAATTATGGACGTACAACGTTTGTGTACAAGTGTACCTACTTGTTGTTAGATGATTAAAAACAATCAATAGTAAAATTCGGAAATCAGGTTTCATGCTACTCCGAACCAAAAAAATATTGTCGTCTTGAGGGGATTAATTTTTGTGTGTGTAGTTTGAACTCATTCCTCACGTTTTCACAGTCACAGATGTGTTAATACCGGGTTATTTGCGCCGTAACTGATTTTTAGGTTTGGGATTTCAAGACATAGTAAACGCTATGTCCAGACTCGTAGCCCTATCGCAACTTGATTGGTAGAATTTGACCAAAAATAAAGGTTTTGACAAACATAACGACGTTGGTCACTAAATAATCAGTGTAATCGAGATCTCCTAATTCAGTAGTGCTAATAATATATCAACAGTAATGCGCTGTTAAAAATACCGTCATCTTTGTGACTGTAATTGATGGGTTATCATCCAATCCTACAAGACACTTTCTATTTCACACATATTAGCATCTGTTCTTTTACTGTATAAAATAATCTGAAATAATGGAGGGTTCTTACACCTTAAATTCATCAGCATACCTCTTTTGCTTTGGTATATTTCCGTATTTTCACCTTTATACATATGTTCGTAAATACATAAGTATTGACTATTCCCATATAATCTATCATAAGACTCTTGTATGCTTGTAGGGACTTGAGGAACGAAATAAATTTGCAGTTGATTGTTTTTCATGTTTATAAAAAATACTGAAAATTTGTTTTCTTTTTTTCCGAAAGGTTTGCTTATTCATTCCTGGTGTAGTGTCAAGTTAATATTTAGTCTTCTGTTTTTAATTTAATAGTTATGTTCAGCTATTTTAATTACATTGGAATAGCAAATGTTAGAGCTAATCTCTCCAAAACTCTTCTTATCAATTAATAATATTACCTGAAAACATCCACCATATTTGTATATTGCTAGTCAAGTCAGTAAGAATAAATTTAAAGGTTTAGGGTCTATTACACTTTCGTTTAATGAAGAATGATGGTTTATCCCTTTTCATATCTGGTTTAGCTGCAGAGAATTAAGTGTTTCAATGGGTTGATGCGTGTATTTTCCTAGGTAATTGTTTGATCCCTGATGAGCCATTTACCTTTAAAATCTCATTACCACTAAATTATTTTCTCGGAACACCAGTACAGTACATTTAGAAAATATGATCATTGGAAGTTTGACGGTATGTAACTACTTGTACTATCATATAACTATCATATAACCCTTCATTAGATGTTAAGCCATAGACGTACCTACCGACTCCTTACTATAGGGGCATTTCTTTACTTGAAAGCAGAATTCGATTTCATTGAACGACAAGTTTCTGTCAGCATCTATCAGTAAGTGGGATACCAAACAAGTGTATAAACTCAAACACTATCATTCGACTCACAGCTTATAGTGTACTGCCATCAAAGCTGATTATATAAATTATTGTTCGCAAGAATTTGTCATTTTCCTGGATTTAATTAACTTGGTCATAGATTTTCTTTTAGAGATAATACTCTCCTCTAGGTTTTCGGGAATTAATCTCGTACCAGGAGATTTACTTGTTAATTGACAATAAGTAGATGATATGGTCCTGTTCAATGAAGACTCACAAAATTTAGAGTTTTCTAATTACCTTCAGAAACAATGCTGCAATGTTTGAAACGCGTTTCCCCACCTCTAAATGAAAAAGAGTGCTTGAGTATTGGTCTATGTCAACGCCTAAGATGATTATAATGGTTGAAGTATTTGAATGTGCTTACTATTTCACCTGTCTTAGAAGTTCCATTAACCCTGGTGGGCTGATGTCTGACAAAATCTCAGCATGGATTCCGTAAACTAATTTCGCTCTTGTCAAATTAGATCACTTGTGACTAAGACAAAATATCTATCTCTCAATGAAAGGACGAGTATACCACACAACACTGTTTTGTTCAGCTTTATGGTTGTGAAACGTGGTCTTTAAAAATAGAGGACATTCGTGAATTATTAGCGTTTGTTTATGGATTCCTTCGAAACATTGCTCTCGTACGTTTGGATCACTGAGTGATCAATGCTGCGGTTAGACTCAGCTTGCTAGTTCAAGATGGCGAGTAAGTTGATATGATAGTAAACCTTCATTAACCACAGCGGCTGGTATGTATTACATGTACCCAACCACCACCTACTTCAGTGTTCAATGAAGGTTGGTATAGGAGTAGTCTGGAGTTTGGAAGAAAGTTAGAGGTAACTAAATCAAATTTAGACGAAAGTTCTTATTTTTTATTCTGCAATCGCATAAAATTATCGAAGAAAATGTACAATTGGTATAACCATCGAATTTTCAATATACGCTGTTTAAACCAGCATGTTTATCCAAAAACGCTAAGAGTTAAGACTCCAGACAATTCTATACGTTCACAAAAGCAGCTATTACAGCTTCTAGAGTATTCCTTCACGTATAGCAAACATTGATAGTGCTTTATCAATAATTATACCACTAGAATTAAAAACAAATGTTGATGAATTTTTGAAACATAGAGATAACTTTTATAACCAAATCACAAAAAGACGTCAAATAAGAAAATTTGAACAAATGTTTAAACATTCGTCGAAATCCAACAACGATGAGATTAAAAATAAATCCAAGGAACTCGATATAAACAAAATAGTGGTAAATCTATCGGATAGACAGTTAAATCAACACGAACTTTCAATAATTAAAAAAGGTTTCGATTTCAATATGAACAGAACACGGATTTCGGCTTCTGAAATTATTCCGTTGATCGAGCCTGCCTTAAACAATGTTCCAGATGATGAGGCAAATACATTGAGGTTTAAAATCCCAGCTGTAATTTTGAATAAAAAACCTAATACGCCTAATATCTCTGAAGAAGAAACGTATGCCCTAAAACAGTTACGGAAAGACAGAAAAATTGTTATTATGAAAGCAGACAAGGGAAACACCACTGTTGTTATGAATAATTCTGACTATGAAAGAAAAATCAATGAACATCTCCATAATGGACCGTATGAAAAAATCATGAAGAGCAAATGTAGAGCCACTTTAAATAAGTTGAAAGCTGAAACGGCCAAATTGCTACAGAATTTAAAGCCCAAACTAGGATCATCTTTATGGTTCTCTTTATATCCAAAAAGCAATAGCCCGTGTAGATTTTATGGCCTACCAAAAAGACACAAAAAAGATGTACCACTAAGACCTGCGATTGATTACATTAATTCACCAACTTATAATCTTTCTAGATACTTGGCCAAAATTCCTAAACCATATGAAAGCGTAATAAAATATGGAATAAAAAAATTCTAATGATTTCAAAAACATTGTCAGTAATATTCGGATAGAAGAGGATGAAATAATGGCAAGTTTTGATGTTTGCTCATTGTTCACTAATGTTACTGTTAAAAAAGCTTTAGATATTGTGTATAACCTGTTAGATTCTGACACTGATCTTAAACAGCGTTGCCTTCTAGACCCCTCAGACATTATTAGAGCGTTGGAGCTTTGTTTACATTCGACGGTTTTCATTTTTCGAGGAGTTCTGTACAGACAAACAGAAGGTGTGGCTATGGGATCACCTGTCTCTCCAATTGTGGCTAATTTATTCATGCATTCATTGGAAACAATTGCTATCTCAACGTGTTCCATTCCACCAAAAATTTGGGTAAGATACGTAGATGATACCTTTGTCATCATAAAACGAGATGGTTTAGACGAACTATTCCAACGGTTCAACAGCTTAGATGACAAAATCAAGTTTACTAAAGAGTTGGAATCGCCTGAACGCAGATTACCTTTTCTAGACTGCCTGGCTGAAAGGAAGGATAATGATTGTTTAAAAATTAATATATTCCGAAAGCCTACATATTCAGGGAAATTTTTAGATTTTAAGTCTGCGCATCCACACTCGACCAAAGTGACAGTGGCCAAAAATTTGATAACCAGGGTCAAAAAACTTGTCACTGAACCGAATGATATAAAAATGGAAATGAATTTAGTTGTATCCACTCTATTAATGAATAATTATCCGAAAGGTTTTATTAAAAGAATAATTAAGAATGAAGAACGGAATGATATTTCTAAAAAAAGAGTTAAGCAAGATTGGATGAACACAGTAGTGATCCCATATCGTAAAGGTATCTCAGAAGACATCAGAAGGATTTTAACTCGTCAAAATATAAGAGTATTCTTTCGAACAAACAATACTCTAAGATCAAAACTAGTAAGAATCAAAGATCCAATACACAAGGATGATCAACAAAATTGTGTTTATGAAATCAAATGTAATGACTGTAATGCAAAGTATGTAGGTGAAACATCAAGGCAACTGAATGTGAGGGTGAAGGAACACAAACTGTGCTTAAAGCACATTCCTAAATCCTCAATTGATGTAAAAAAGCTTGAGAACAGATCAGCGATAGCATTACACTCGATTGAATCGGGTCATACAGTTGATTTCAATGGCACGAGAATCATTCAAAAAGGATTTAATTCTTACAAAGAACGACTAACAGCCGAAGCCCTACATATATGGGCTAATTCAAACAATATTAATAGGAGAGATGGAATACAACTAGCTGTTCCATGGCAACTAGTAATTAATAAGTAAACCTGATCTCCTTTTTGCCATTTGATATATTTATGCCATAGTAACTAATTGATAGATAATACGTTCAATGATTCAAATCCGTTATCTTATCTGAATATGTTAAACAATTGACTGGAACATTAAAAATAACACACACCTTCAATTACATATATATTCCTCTTTTATTTTGTTTACTTATCTTATTTATCTTCATTTAATGCAGGCTGTGGCATTTTTGGTTCATTTCATACATAAAAATGGTTTGTTTTCTTAATATACACAGACCGTAGTCAATATTTAGTTGAATGAAATTTCTTCTCACATCACTTGCGTATAAACACATTCTGTTGTCTTAACACGTTTTTGGTTCCATAGCACATACCTTGTCCTTATGTGTACAAAAACAATTTGTCATAACCTTGAATTTACCTTGTAATCCTTAAGTCATTCTATGGCCCAGGATAACACGACAATTTCTTATTCTTTCTCTCCCCTTGATTATTTTCAAATGAACTTTCATTTTTCATATTATTTTCATATAAACATGTCTCTTACACATTAATGCAAATACCTATTTATAAAAAATCCTTCACGTTGATTGGATGACTTATTCAGTATACAGTAAACCGAAGAACCTTGTACCTATTTATATTCGATAATTTTGTTGTTTGATTATATTTTCCTTGAAAAAGCTTGGACCAGATTGCCAGGCGAAACGTTGGATTTACTTAAAATTCATTCGCTGAGATTTTACAAATATATTGTTCTTTTTAATGTCTTAAATTAACTCGGCGCCCAAATATTGTGAAACTATTCGTTCAAATTTAGACGAAAGTTCTTATTTTCTAAATCAAATTAGTTCACAAAGTCATTGACTGTTAGTAAATTCATAATATCTGGTTGGGATCCGCGTGATTATTACGACTGATGTTTAGAGACATTACATAACATGGATGGAAGTCTATCACAATGACTTAGTTGCATTCACTATTTATCTTCTTTAGATCTCGACTTTCAAAACTATTTTGTCTCTTATACGAATATTCGTCAAGATTAGAACTAATAGTTTGACAGAAATTGGGCGCCGAGTATAGGGAAGTCATTATATGTGAAAATTATATTTGAAATAATCTCAGCGATTGAAATTTAAATTATTCCAACTTTTCGTCCAGCTAACTTATCTGGACTTCTTCAGGGTAATAATAAGTTAGCTGGACGAAACGTTGGAATTATTTAAATTTCAATCGCTGAGATTATTTCAAATATAATTTTCACATATATTTTATCTTGTATTCCAGAAATCCCTGATGTCATCATGGTGTCTAATCTTTTTATAATCACTTTTATTATGATTGCTTCAGTATTCATTTTGATAATATCATTTTGTGTTAATTTGATGTGCCAATTTAGGTCAGTTCAGACATGTGTCATTTTCTACTAACTTTTTGAGCAATTAAATCATGCACTTTTGAATATTCCTTTATGATAGTTTTATCTACTACTTATTTATTCATTAGTATAGATTATTATTCTTTTTGTTTGATTTATGTATATTCTTTAATCTTTTGTCATGAATCCAATACATTTTTCTATTAATGAAATGTTCTATACGTATTTACGTGCGTTTGTGAGTACAGATGTACATTGAACATTCTAATATTATTCCCGTTTACGATGCTTGAAGTTTTGTATAACTCTAATTTGTTTTAAAATATCAGGTGTTCAATCATATATGCTTCGTATTGTTGTTAAAATTAAGTGATAGTCGAATGATCACTGATTTATATTGTGTGCTAATTCAATTTTTCTTATACCGGTTTCACTAAAGTTCAGCTTTGTAAAAGATAGTTTCTGTGAGTATTCATATGATATACTGTACTATTATATATAACGTTCTTGATTTTATGTAATTCTTATGCTTATATATGTATATATATATGCTTATACTCTTAGAGTTGACGGCTAACTTTGAATGTGGTTCAGACTGTGATCCAACTGTTTGTTCTGTCAATTTGAGCAATTCTAACCTTTTTTATGCCAATACAGCAGCATCTTCCTCCTGTTCATCTACTATACCAGTAAATACAGCAACTTGTTCAAAAACTACTTCCAGACCGATTGATCCACGAATATCTACCAATTTGGTTAACCGAAAAGATAGATATAATTATGGCAGTATATTCAATTCCAGTCATACTGAACTACATCATAATGTTAATAGTAATAGTTTACAGACTCAAAGTATTCCTGTAGAATCAGGTAACTTGTTGATTCCCTCCTCTCTACTTCGTAATCACTCTTATTACTAAACACCTCTATTTTTCTACAATAAAATCATTTTTGTGTCTTTCTGTTAGGTTTTTCTTTGTTTTAATTGTCATCAATTCTGTGTAGTTGTCATGCCCTTTTATAAGTTACCAACGTATTGATTATTTGTAAAAATTGTTGGTTCCCCTCCCTTCTTTTCATTTTAATACCCTGATTCTGTTTTTTTCACAACTTAATGTTACAGATATCGTGTCATGGTCGATAATTCTACGTCTATAGCTGTGTGTATGTGTGTTTATGTTTAAATGTTGTCAGTTTGTGTATTTTTTTTTCAATGTATATTTTCTTCAAATTACGCTATAAATGAGTGAATTAACCAATTAATTATTTGTATTTGTGCTTTTTCCCATTGCATTGCAGCGTCTTATGATAATGCTGTTGTATACAATAAAACGAAAATATCATTAGAGAACTACAAAAAAATGAAATCTATCAATAGTATGAGAAAACGTCCGTTTACCTCTGGTCCAAATATAGTAAAAACTTCATCAGATAGTTTGAACATACTTAGACCGTCTCATACTGGTATACACCATCAAGTATTAAGTTTACCACAAGATTATCAGAGTATTTCATTAAATAATTCAATAGGATCTAGTCTTCATTTTCGTAGTACAATTCACCAAACACCTCTAGTTGAAATACAAGGCTCACACGGTTGGTTCAGTTCCACAGATGATGAAGATGATTATGATGATAACAATGTTGTAAGTGGTGGTAGTTGCATCGGTGCTAATAATAAAATTCAATCAAAAAAAGAAAAGAATCATTTCTCCAATTTAAATCATCTTACTAATAGTACTACTATTTCAGACAAAATACAAATACCAACACATTCTACATATTCTACAATGATTGGTCAAGAGATTCCTAATACATCTCAGCAATCAGCTGTTGTACATTCTAACAATACTACTGTTAATACCAGTCATGAGATTAATAATAATGATAAAAATCGAAATGATAAGCCAGATTCTGTGAATAGTATTGGTTTAACAGATGATCAGACAGATGTAAATTCAGAATTTATTCCAATGTATAAGATGAATGTAAGTTCTTGTCAAATGATTTAAGTTTTTTTTTTCTGAAAAAAATTAGTTTCTGTTTGCTGTACCAAATTAAAACAGTTTATCAGTTCTATTTCTGAAAAAAATGTTAACTTACAATTCAATAGGTTTTTATGCGAGGACTATTGATACTGCTAATCAGCTACCAGATAGATAGAACAGAGTTCGTATCAGGAACTCGTGTCATATACTTTGATCATAAAGTAACTAATAGTGATTTTCACATATCTTACGTTTTTAAAATCTTTTCTGTAAATAAATCAACTTATTCTCTATTATATTGTGGAAATAAATTCGGTAGATTGAATAGCTTTAGATTAACAACGAATAAAATTATTTTTCAAAGGTAAAACTTTAGATATTCATAAGTTTTATTGTTAAAAGTATAAGACTTAAAGTAAAATATTTCATGTATTTTCACTGCCGACTAGTTTGGATCATCCAATTCTAAGTAAAAGTGAATTTTCTGATTATTCTACAACTATTTGGTCGATCTGTCCTTATATTTTGTTAACTCTGTTTAATCACTATAACATCAATTAAAAAATCATCTGATATCTAGTACCTGCCTTCTCATACCTTAAAATTCTAAAGTAGTTCTCGCCCATGAGCCTATATAATATATAACTTAAAGAATTTCTAGGTCTTGTGACTAGCTTATCACATTTAGACCATTAAACTGATATCCACTGGTTTACATTTTTAACTTCAATCAATCTGTCAGTTATAGTTACAGTTTGTAAATCTAATGCATGATGTTATGTATGATGTTTGATATTGTGAAGTTTTTTTGGTGAGACTATAGTTTATGGACGGTCACCTTGAGACAACCCACCTGCTTACTAAGGTCAAAAAGGTTTTATAAATTAGTATCAGGAATCATAATTTGGGAGTTAAAGTAAGGGTTTTCATTACAAACTGATATCATCTATAGTACCGAAATCCTATTTATCTATATCGGCGAATAAATTTCGCTTCACAATCCAAGACTCATTGTCAGTAATTCAATTGGTTCTTCCATAAGTTATAGTTTTCATTACATTACTAAAACAATCGCCTTTATATAGCCATTTTATCTTAGATTTAATATAACAGATTGACTATAGCAAGTAGTGGAACCTAGGAAGCACCTTTCGTCTTGTTTGAGATTTGTCAACTGGTCAACTGGTGTTTGTATTTTAACTCGAACACAGTGCCTTTTTTTCAGTGCTTAACGCTGCGGGGTTTTCAGAGAAAAGTACGAGATTCCATTACTAGCCATGGCATAGTTAATGCAAATTTTGTCATCTAAAAGCTTACTAGATGGTGTTTAGTGTTCTGGACTTAAGTGATATATTATTGTTATAACTTGTGGCCTTGTGCCCTATTAATATATAACATAACGATGCCGCTATTTAGGGAACAGTGATTTACCGACCGGACAAATGACGTGTAAACCTGTTAGAGCAGTCTAGAGTCCTTATCGGTCCTTCTTTCTACCTTGCCCTGCCTGTTGAGTCCAGAGCACCATTCTCAGCCTCTACAATATAAATCATGTATTTCAAACATACACTGGGTTTATATACAAACCAAACCAACCACATCGCACCACAAAATAGAAAAACACCATTTGCACGAGATCTAGTCAAATGTGGCTGTGAATGTGGGGGCCTGTAATTAATAGACTGGGCATAACCCAAGAACGGCAAGTCGTATAATAATAGTTTATGGGTCAAAATAAAGCTTGTAATAAGAGGAGTATAGATATACATAATCTAGCTACTGAATAGTTATACATTGAGAATATATACGTACAATATTTGTCCAATAAATAGTTCTCAAAAGTTACCATTCATAATCCTCGTCGGGATAAAACAACTATAGTGAAAAATTTTTTCAATTATATGTTATGACATTTGGCATTATCAGATCAGCGCTTTTCATTTTGAATGTTAAAGGTGAGTAACGTTGAACGATGTGTTCTCCATGAAAATTCATCCAAAATTAAACCAAAAAGGAATATTTAGAATTTTCGTCATTTCTAACTTTTAAACCCCATGCAAGGAATTTCAAATTTCACTCTTTCAAAGTTTTATTCGTTATAATTACTCATTAAAGGCGCACCAAATTACTACAATAAGTACCTATTTACTTTCCCTTCTATTATCATCAATAGTAACAACAAGTAACTTTTGTAATTATTTATGTTCTCAATTATGAGTGAGTCTAATAATGAACAGTTTAAAATGTTGTAATGACGGATTTGTTTTTTGTGTGTCACGATCTGTCAGCAAACTAAGAAATGACAAATTCATTTCAATCTTTTGCTGCACATACGCACAGAGATCGTAACCATCAATCTATTAATTAATATTATTTAATTTTTTTCTTTTTTATTATTAAGGTGTTATTATATGTATCAGATTTGTCTAAAAAACGTTATGGAACATTGAATAGAAAATATTTACTTTATTTCTGGTAAGCACATTCAAAGCTATTTGTACTGTTTTAATGGTTATGATCAAGAAAGTTTCTGACTTCAAAATATTGGTAGTAATATAACTGCTAGGTTTGAAGCTATTACGAGTTCACTTAGTATGCGAACGGAACAAAGATGTGTGACCGTAGACCAATAAGCTAGCTATTTGAAGCGTCTCAGCCCCGCTAACTAGAGGGAGAAGTCTAAGCTTGGAACGGGAAAGTATATTCCGTAAGCCAGAAGCAAGAGTGAATAATAACAGACACAAATCAAACGTATATATACTTAATAAAACTGTCCTTGGGAAGCGTAGCAAAAATAGCATACTAAAAATACACAACGGACCAAGAGCGTTAAAGATTCTCTCAAGTGGGAAATACGATATGAAGGTGAAAAGTGCGCTTTTGGCGCGAAAACAAGGAAATTTAAATTTTCAAAATAAAATTATAAAATTAAAGCATTTACGAAGTGAGTTCTGGGGATCTAACATCCCCAACAATAACCAAGACTGACCATTAAAATACTTAATTATTAAATTTTTTTTTCAATATTAATTATCTGTTCCACAATGAGCGATTCTCAGTATAAAATCCTCCAACGGTTGGGCGATAGAGGTAGTTATTACGTTATGGTAAATTACGCCTGTCTCAGTAGATCACCCATCCAATCAATAAGTTTAAAGGACTTCCTTCTCCATCTCATCGTTTTTATGCTGACAAATCAATATTATATTAAACATAATAAATAAAGCCATTGTTGTTAAAGTTTATCCTTCCTTCATGGCATAAAAGTTTACAAAATTTATACATTAAGGGAAGTTTTTAAAACAGTGATTGTTTCTGTATTTGTATTCAATCATGACATTGTTTTCAATTAGTTTTGCTTTGAAAGCATTAACCATTACAAGGTAATATGGTACTTTATTAATTGGTAGAAAAAACTGTCGCAGATACGAATTGAATTATGTAAGGTCGAGCGCTGGTAATGTTGAAGTAAAGCACTAACATAAGAAAATCTTACAGTTGTTACTTTAAAAGCTGGTTATTGACTTTTAATATTGAGTAATAGTTCATGAATTATTTTAAATAATCTACAATCTTAAGAGTGGACAACGGGTACCCGATAGTTTTTTTCTCAAGTAACGTTATTACCTTTGATTGATAAAAATATCTAAGATTTAGGTGGAGTTTTGTTCTTTGGCTGGATGGTTTGGTCGTGGAGCTTTCATTGTTCGTATGAACAACATCATCAGCACAAACTTCAGATAGAAGTAAATTGTTCAAATTTCTCCACATATGACTCACAGGTTGTCTTGTCCAATCTTTATCTTGGTTGGTTATTGTTGACCTTTAATCTTTCATTGTCTACTTCTTTACATTGATTGTACCTCCCTTTGATTTGATTCTTGGTCCTATATTTGTCCATGATTTTTCCTATTTGTTTGGTAGATTGGGTCGGTTTCAATGTGTATGTTGATTGCTGATTGACTTGAATGCCAAGCTTCCAAAAATTCTCTGGTGTATTTAAAATTTCCTGTATCCAAGATCTTAATATTTTTCCAGTCGAATGTGTGTTTACATTTGTTCATATGTATTGATGTAGGCGAAGATATGTCATGGTGTTTGACCGTTAATTGATGTTCGTACGGACGAAGATGAAGCAGTCGTCCACTCTGTCCGATGCAGTGTTTTTCGTAGTTGGAACAGTTATTTTGTAGATTATGTTCGGTTTTTCTTCTTGAATTTAGTATCATATTATTATTTGTTTTTAATTAAAGGTATGTCAACTTTAAATTTATCGTTTCTTCCGTCTTATTTAATGAATCTTATAGGTATTTAATCATCATATCCATTTTCTATGGATTACCAGCAGTACAATTAATCATGACATACCAAAAGGTAAGGTAACTTATACATTCTTTCTATATATGTATATATTCATTGTATTTTATATATTTATAGGGTTGCGAAATTTTAGTTTTACTAAAGATCACGCCATCTTTGTAACTGATTTACAGGTTTGTATGATACATTGATAAACTCACTTAAACTGAAAGATGAGATGGAGCGTCATTTTAACTTTTCAAATAATTTGTTTCCAGAGTTCTGAGGTACTATCAATCTCGTTTACGTTTAATAACTACTTGCAAATTAACTAAATAGTCATCTAGTGTTGAGATTTAGATGGTGGTTGGAGGTAGTCAACAGGAAACCCTGGACCCGGGTTTCGTGCTACTTGGCACTCGTCAGCAAGGTGTACCTGTAATCTTGAGGGAACTGGTGCTCCCTGGCCGACTCGATCTCGTGTCACCCAGCTTCACAGTCAGAGACGTTCCCACTGAGCTATCCGAGCCGTGACTAACCTCCTGTAGGACTGAGATGTAATCACAATTGATTGATCACTGGGTGGTGATCAATGTCATGCTTGTCTAGTCCTTATTAGTGCAGATCGAATGCTAGACAAGCATGACATTGATCACCACCCAGTGATCAATCAATTGTGATTACATCTCAGTCCTACAGGAGGTTAGTCACGGCTCGGATAGCTCAGTGGTAACGTCTCTGACTGTGAAGCTGGGTGACACGAGGTCGAGTCGGCCAGGGAGCACCAGTTCCCTCAAGATTACAGGTACACCTTGCTGACGAGTGCCAAGTAGCACGAAACCCGGGTCCAGGGTTTCCTGTTGACTACCTCCAACCACCATCTAAATCTCAATACATAGTGCCCGCAGTGTCGAGTCACCTAGACTGGTGGCCACATTGCAACATGATCGATAGCATTCGATCTGCACTAATAAGGACTAGACAAGCATGACATTGATCACCACCCAGTGATCAATCATTTGTGAGTTATCTAGTGTTATTAACGAACGACTACTGATATTATATTTGCCTGTTCTACTAAACCGTACAATTTATATTAGTTTAGAAGTTTACTATTGCTGGACCACTGACTAGTGACCAATGTTAAGTTTACTTAGTCCCTTTATTGCTGACCGAATTCTACTGATCAAGTTGCAATATGGAGATTAGGTTGGGTAACTTGGTATAGAGTGTAATATGCTGAGATGTTTAATTGTTGGAGGGAAGGGTATAAATCAACTAGAGGTGGATACCGATTATATCAGTATAATATACATGTAGCCAATATGTTCTCTTACTTAATTGACGTTTCTCATAATGTTTTATTATTAAGTTTTGTATATTTCTTCTTCAATAATATGAGTTTTTTTTATTTTATTTCAACACATAAATAATATGAGTAGGCTGTTTTTGAAACTGGTAATGAAGATTTATGCTATTACAACTTTGAATGTGCTCATTCACTTGGCATCTTCACGGCGTTTAACAATATTATTTCAAATATTGGCTATGTTATGCTAGGATTATTATTTCTTGGTTTGACTGCCCGACGGTAAGTAACACAAACATGAAATTTCCTGAAGAATTGATTCATTGATTTACATAGTTTTTGTAGAACCCTCCAATATTTTTCAAATTACTTTTGTTGCGAAAAGACATCAACTGTAGCGCTACTGAAAAATAAGAAGTTTTTGACATTACGTTAATACTAATTCATGACTCCTACATGGTGTTTAACTTGAAACCTTTAAGTTTGAAGGTGAGCATAATATCACTCAGTTACTAAGTCTGTTCTGGTAGTTAATACTTTTTAATTTTAGCCTTTTCGTGATGTAGAGTAATCCTCATTCGATGTAAACAGTTAGTTATCTCCTCATTTTCAAATTATTTGTCTACATAGGTCATAAATTTTCGTTTGATCTTTGAGAAATTCATTTCAAAGTTAATGATCTGTCATTAATGAAGTCAGAAGTCGCAATATACCTCAGAATTTACACTAATTTCTACCTCTCCACCTCCGAGATATATATATATATATATATATATATATATATATATAAGGTGGAGTGTGGTTATACTTGCGCTGCCGTTAAAAGTGGCTTAGTTTATCAATAGGCAGTTTATAATAGTTTTTGTCTTATTGTACAATATATTTTTACATTGGTGAGAAAGTTCATTTGCTACAAGAACCAAATGTTTACGCTAATTCGATTCTAACATAATCGAGTAAACAATCCATCTCTCTAACCAGTTTCCATTTCATATTTATAATAAACTTGTATTTAGGCTATGAAATTTTTGTTTTGATTAAGTACGTTGAATATCTGAATTAAACATGTTGTTCATACGTAAAACGTGGTCATACTTATTTAAACAATCAATTTACACACAGATAGTATCAGTCAACACTCATATAAACTTTTAAGAGAAAAAATCCATTGTGATTCATCTAATCAACTGTTTTGATTGAATTGTTTATGAAGAATTCACTCATTAAAAGTCATGCTTTAAAAACATATTGGCGAATCATGTAATATGTATTATCAATTCACATGTGTGTGATTATTTGTTGTAGTAAAAGATTAGTCTAAATTGTCTGTATTCTCTCTCTCTCTCCTGTAATCTTCAAAATTCCACCTGAAATAGTTATTAGTTTTTGATGAGATGATTTATTATTCGACTATTCTCAAGTCATTTCATACCGTTGAATATAAGATTTAGATATACATAATTAAGTCCTATAGTCATTATTCTTTATATATACGCTTACTATATATAATTATATATTCTGTACACCTACTTCTTCTATCCATCTTATAGTGATATTCTTCATAAGCGATCCAAAAATTTAAACCCAAACTCCCAGGTAATCATAGTGTGTTCGCTTTTGTGTTTATTTGTGAAAAATATCTCTTAAATAGCCTTGTGTTCATTATTTTATTGTTAAATATTCTTCGTAAGTATATCCATCAGTTATTTGTCAACCAATAAATCTTTTTTAAACCAGAAACAGTTTAAGCGGGTTGGAGATACAAGACTTATAGTAATGCATAATTTAGAGAATATCCTCAGCTGTATTGCTTCTGAAAGTTGATTGTGTAACTTATTAAAACATTTAACATTTAAGAATACTGGGACCTAAAGTCTAGAAACAAGATAAAGATTTAGTGGATCTGCACCATTGTAGTCCCTTATAAGCTAATGTAACCTGACGTTTTTCTATCTGATGTGATGCAAATAGCCTGCATCTACCAATGTGGGTCACTACAATAGTCGATGATCTCATGGAGCGATGTCACGTTTTGGTTTAGCCATTTTTAGCTTTCTTCCAGCTTACTCATACTCTAGCGAGTATTATATGTCGAATTAGTCAGTTGTTGGGCGTATTCAATACGTATCACAGCCACCTCAATTGAGAAAGCAATTCTGTTAGGACACACACAACCTACACATGTGTTTTAATTTCGCTGACTATGTTTCATAGCCATGTAATAATACAGAGTATATTTCTACATGGTATACTTTTCCTTTGTTTGTTAGATGGGTATCTCGACTGTGCCACAAGTGATACAAGTTGACAAAAACTAACCGAGATTTTTGAATTGGTGCCGAGATCTCGTTAGACACCGTCCCACTAAGACTTGTAAAATAAGTAATGACGAACGCATCCAACTACTTCACTCCTTATCATTAGTTCTTGTGCTGACACGAACCAGTCCTGGAACAAAATTTTGCATTTACAGGAAGTGAAATTTATCCCAAACATGTTTGCATTGTTACTCAAGGCAGTCTTCACCAAGTAGAATTATGTCGCTTGAGTACTCTGTATTGATTAGTGAGTTTCTAGGAAAGAGATCACTCTCGGAAAAGTCACATAAATAAGGTGTTATTTCCCATAGGACATCTCACTATATTGGGACACAGGTCCCCGATAATGGTAATTCAGCCCTATTTATATCTTAGTTTATTGAATTTACTTACAGTTTAGGTACAGATATATTAATATTTAAGATAACGCAACTTACATCGTGTCACGAAAATAGCCACCTTAGACATTACGTAGATTATTTCGTAATTCATTGAATTTTAATAGTGTTAGCATTCAGCGTAAACTTGTATCTATAGTTCTGATGGATCATCCTTTTCAACAAGTACATCTCAATCTGCAGTAAATATATTATTGTTCACTTTCACTCATTTCAAATCTTAATTAATTCAAGTTTAATTGCAACAGAGACAGTTTGTTATTAAAGTCTTCGGCTGAATTGCAAACTAAGTTTAACTTCTTACAAACGGATGGGGAGACACTTTTTAGGCGTTCTAGATATACCACAATAATTTTCACAACTTCCTCTTAACAATTGTTTGGTAATTTATCGATCATAAAGCATTTCAATAAATGTATTCTTTCAATAACACTATAATGTACAATTTCTTATTCGATTCTATATTTTATTAGTTCTTTTATTTTTTCTTATTAAAATAAAATTTCATTAGGTATTGGGTATACCGCAGCATTATGGTTTATTTTATGCAATGGGTTTAGCATTAACTATGGAAGGTCTAATGAGTGCATGTTATCATATGTGCCCGAATTTTTCTAATTTCCAATTCGGTAAGCCAACCAAAATACTAATATATAGTTATCCTATTTTGTAAATCATCTTATTTTCTTATTTTACAAATCTCTCATTTTTATAGTAGACCTACTGACAAGACTATAATTTATGGACAACCTTAGAGCGATACTGAAGTGTCCACCTTCTAACTATGACTAAATGAGGGTTATAAACCAGTGTGGGAAATTAGAATTTTGGTTTCGAGTTGATGGTTAGAGTTAGGAATTAGATTCAAGGTGTTCATCACGAACTGATATCAATTAAGAACCCAAAACGTTATTTTGCCAAATAGATAAATGAATTTCTCACCAAAACCCAAGACCTGTTATCTTACATCTGATTGATTCGTCCATAAATTATAGTCTCACCGACCTCTCTGACGTATTTCTCTGTACATAGAGATTATGACTTAGTATATATATATATATATATATATATATATATATACTGGTAATAAGTTAATACAGTTTTATCGGTAGGGGGTTGTGGAGAATAAGTTTTTGATTGAGATCATGGTGGTCTAACATCAATCGGTTCATTATTTCAATCAATACAGTTTTAGCTGTTAAACACGTATCCCTGAATCTTATGCTAACAATCGCGATGCCATCAGATTTCAGTACCATACTTTTTGTTTTTTCAAGAGCCTTACTGAGTGGAACAAATAACTACCAACGTATTTTTTCTTAAGATAAAAACCCTTATTTACAAAATATGTAATACAATGCCTCTAATATTTAATGTTGTTTATTGACTGAAGTCTTTTTTATTACTCACAACTATTACAATTAGCTTATATTTTTAAGGATGACATTAATAATTATTCTTGGAAAATGCCCAAACAACCACACAATGGCTCATATATTTTTAATTATTAAGAGCAAATGTCTGCTGCCATTTTCACGTACTAGACATAAAAAACTTCCTGTTCAAAGTCTTACGAGTGGATAGGTGTACTGCATATCTCTGTTTATAACCTTTAAAATGTTTTTTTTGACTGAGTCATTATTGTTTGATCCTATCATTTGTGTTTTCAGATACTGCTTATATGTATATACTCGGTATGCTAATAATGTTAAAAATTTATCAGACAAGACATCCTGATGTGAATGCATCAGCGCATTCAGCATATATGGTTATGGCTGTAGTTATTTTCCTCGGTGTTCTTGGTGTTGTAAGTTTTATTTCTGGTCATTATTGTAATATTTTTTTCACTGAAATGGTTCACGGAATTCGGCAATATAAATATCAGCTGGTCACACGTACAGATAAGAAATGATATCATCTGTATCCTGGTGTTGATGTTCACAATAAAACTCGAACGTATTACTTGCTACTTTAAAAACCAATACGTTGTCCATTATGTTGCTGGATGTGAATAGCCTCCAGTTTGTTTAATGGGTAGCATATTGACCAATATTGTTACTAGAAGTGGTACTAACGTTTAATGTTTTTCCACTGTTAGTATTCTGGCGTGAGGTCGGTCTGTATTTTTTGTCATGTAGGTTTCCTGATCGAATATCCCAATATAACCTTAAAGTACAAGTTTATTGAATTTCTGAATTGTAGCTGGAGGATTTGAACCCATTATTCTAGTTAATAAGGCGTTTACACCTGAAATGAAAAGTACTTGATTCGGGTTGACGGGCATCAGATAGGACGAAACGTACATTCTGTCACTCGAAAATGATTAAATTCAATTAGTCTGCCTGAGTCTAAAACGTCTGTACCTAAAGATAAATTTTGTTCGGTGGTTAATAATGGAGTGTCAGTTTATTAGTGAAATCTGGTATTTTTCGAGCTAGAGATTCTCTTGAAATACCCCAGTCCTTTTCGCTTCGTTATGAACTTAATTCGGTTAGCAGCTCTTAATCATGTGTTGTTGCCTCCTGAGACCCATATATTCAAGTCCTCGTTTCGATTCATAACCTTGAAGTGTATTTTAGGTGAATTGGTACTATTACAAGTAGAACTTATCAAATTATTTGTCATTTAATTGAAATATGAATACTACACAAGAACTATTTACTTAGTTTTAAATTGAATTCAAGGAATATTCACCCTACATAAAAATCTCTTTGGGCCCTTGATAAGTCCTCATAAAAGTCCTCGGAGGCTATAAGTGGGTTGAAGACACTTTTCCCAATTGACTTTTAATAGAAACTTCTCAAAGAGATTATATGAAAAATCTTTAACCTAAAGAATAGGCAAAAAGTGAATGTACAAATTTATCTTCACATGACAATCCGGCTCGTAATACATAGAAAGAAATGAAAACTTATGTTCAGTTAAATCTTATCACCAAACTGTATGTTTACTACTCCATAGAATTCAATACTTCCTCAGTTAGTATCTGTGATGAGGATCTTCCACGGTGTGGGCAGCCGGGGAGTGATATCAGCCCTCATACCCCTAACAGCACACGAGACCAAGTTGGTCACATTCGAATCCTTCCTACACCTCCTAATACCTCTCTTATCTCTATGACTAAACCTCCTCACGTCTCTTTATCACCTCGCACCGCTAGGGCAAACGATTCGAGTACGCGGAACGTTATTCCTGGTCTCCTGAAACCACGCTCTAAACTACACGTAGGAGCTTTAAACGTCCGAACACTGTGGCAAATAGGACAACAGGCTTCCTCAACTAGGACTTTAGAATCCCGCGCCATCGATGTGTGCTGCGTCTCCGAAACGCGCACACAGGATCCGAGTAGCGTCATTCATTTGACCTCACCATGCCAAAATAAAGAACCGACTCGATTCACACTTCGTGTATCTGGGAGCCCTGATTCTGCTTCCCGTGGCCTCGCCGGCGTAGGTATAGCATTGAGTCCTAGGGCAGAACTAGCTCTCTTAGAGTGGATCCCAGTAGACAGTCGTTTGTGCGCTGTCCGACTGAACGGAACAGTAAGAATCCGGAAAGATAGGGACACTTGTCGTTGCCTCTTCGTCGTCTCTGCCTATTCTCCCACTGACTGCAGCTCAGATGATGTAAAAGATGAGTTTTACAGAAAGCTTTCGGACCTTCTCCGAAAAGCTAGACGCTCGGATGTAGTATTAGTGGCCGGTGACTTTAATGCTCAAGTATGTAAACTAAGCGATAGGGAAAGACACCTAGGTGGATCTTATGGTGTCGTGGCTCAAAGAACAGATAATGGCGACCGTCTGTTGCAGCTATGCTCAGATAACCACCTGTTCCTTGCAAATACTAACTTTAAGCATAAGGAAAAACATCTTTTAACATGGAGACCCCCTAATTCGTCCCAACGTTGGACCCAAATAGATCACATCGCTATCAGCCACCGATGGAGGGGCTCGTTAGAAGACTGTCGCTCATTCTGGAGCACATGCCTAGATTCAGATCATGCTCTAGTGCGAGCGCGTATTTGCTTGCGTCTTACTGGACGTAGGAAAGACGCTGCAAGGAAACCTCTTAGGGTCCTACTTAATGATAGTCAAGCTAAGAGTATATTTCAGGAACAACTAGGAAAACAGTTAGGCAGCCATGTATGTGATGCCCACCCCGATGCAGCATGGAATGATATCCGAAAAGCTGTGGAAACAGCAGTGATATCTGCTAGTACGGTAACCCGTAAGGTTAGGGAGCAACACTGGATCTCAACAGCATCTATCTCACTGGTAGATGCTCGGAAACTCATTCCACCTGGCTCTGAACATAATGAAGAGCGGAGTCAGCTTAAGCGCAAGCTGACAAGAAGTCTACGCAATGATCGTGAACAGTGGTGGGTAGCGAAAGCAAGAGAGATGGAAAAGGCAGCGGCAATAGGTAATAGCAAACAATTGTTCAGACTCGTTAAGGAAACCGGAATTAGGAACCCGACCGTTAGCGAAACAATCTCAGAGAAAGATGGACATATTATACATTCTCAATCCAGGAGATTGGATCGATGGGCATAACACTTTAGGGATCAGTTCAACTGGCCTTCAGCCACACTTCGGTTTCCCACGATCTCCAGTCAACCTGAATGGCAAGTTAATGTAGGTCCTCCGTCCCTTTACGAAGTTGAAAAAGCCATAAGAAATCTGAAGCGAGGGAGAGCAGCAGGCCCTGACAGGTTTACTCCTGAGATTTTTAAGGATGGTGGTCCAGTATTATCAGTGAGATTGATTGGGGACTTAGGTAGAATCTGGGAACTGGACGTAATCCCATCTGACTGGTCTCAATCACTGATTGTGCCAGTCTATAAGAAAGGACAAAAGTCCTCTTGTGACAATCACAGAGGAATCAGTTTGACAAATATAGTGTCTAAAATATTAGCTTCAATAATACTTCAACGCCTAACTAAAGCTCGTGAAGAGGAGACTAGAGAAAACCATGCTGGTTTTCGACCTGGACGTGGTTGTATAGACCAGGTACTATGGCAGTGTTTGTCACTGAAAGGAGTACCAAAGAAGTACATTAACCTTGTAAAGGCTCTCTACTCGAACACAACTGGTAGAGTGAGAGCTTATGGCGAACTGTTATCAGAATTGATTGCCTCAAGTGGTGTTCGTCAGAGCTGCCCACTCTCTCCATTCTTGTTCAACTTTGTCGTTGACGTACTTTTAGAGATAACACTCTCCTCATCTAAATTTCCAGGGGTTGAACTTCTACCGGGAGATTCACTTGTTGACTTAGAATATGCCGATGACATAGTTTTATTTGGTGAAGACGCTGACAAAATGCAGAGTCTTCTGACCACTCTAAGCAACAATGCAATCGTGTTCGGGATGCGATTCTCCTCCTCGAAATGCAAAATGTTGCTTCAGGATTGAGTTGCATTGACACCCGATCTAATGATAGGGAGTGAAGTAATTGAGCGTGTCGATCGCTTCACTTATCTTGGAAGTCTCATCAGCCTTTGTGGTCTGGTGTGTGAGGAAATCTCAGCACGGATACAGAAGGCTCGACTAGCTTTTGCCGACTTGCGTCATTTATGGTGTAGGCGAGATATCCGTCTATCAACCAAAGGACGATTTTACTGCGCAGCAGTTCGTTCCGTCCTACTTTATGGCAGTGAAACATGGCCGGTATGAGTAGAGGATATCCGTAGGTTACTAGTATTTGATCATAGGTGTCTTCGAAATATTGCTCGTATATCATGGGACCATCGAGTAAGTAACGCAGTTGTTAGGAAACGGGTACTAGGTAAGGATGGCAAATCAATTAATGAAGTGGTGAAACTTCATCAGTTGAGATGGCTGGGACACGTGTTACATATGCCCAGCCACCGACTGCCTCGATGTGCGATTTTTTGTTGTATAGGAGTAGGTTGGAAGAAAGCTAGTGGCGGTCAGACCAAAACATGGCACAAGTCCATGAAGTCACTGACAAGTGGACTGATTCATGTTTGTAGGTGTAGGCTACCTGGTTGGGGACCGCGAGATGAAAGCAACCGATGGTTAGAGACCCTGAATGACATGGCTCTTTGTGTTCTCTCAAATTCTAATCTTCTGAATTCTTCATGTCCCTTTCTTCTCTTTCCAGATTTATTTCACTGGACTATAATCCTTGAATAACATCTTCAAACCCTAATTTTTCTGATTACAGCTTATAATTTTACTACATCTACCACTACGGGATTTGAATCGACCACTGCATCTTTGTGCTAATGTAGTGTGGCATCTCGAACTAATGTACGTACGTACGAAGTTCTACGTTGTTACTGACTGACTGTGATGAGGATAACAGATGAACGAGCCAATCAAATTCAAGATTGCATGTCTTGAATTTTAGCTCGAAATTCATTCATCCAATTAGTTAAATAGAATTTTGCTGTAAGAACTGATATCAGCTCATGATGAAAACCTTTATTCAATTTCCTAACCCTAATATGAAACTCAAATTCTTAATTCTATATTCTCACACTAATATATAATCTTCATTTAATCTTAAAAGTAAACACTATCATAGTCATTTAAGGATCATCTCTGAAAGGTTGTCCATAAATTATAGTCTCATCACAATTGTCTATAATTATATTGTTCAAGTAAAGTCATAGCTAGAAGGTATTTTATCATAATTATCAAATTGTATCAATCTACTATGAATAAATCAGCTAAATTTTATTTAATAAAATAAATCTGTATTAAATTAAATTTGAGATTAAAGTTGATTAAATTCATATTCTGTTAAATGTTCAATAAATTATAACTAAATTTAACAATTTAATAGCTAATTTTGAATTACATGTTTATTACTTACTTACTTTACTTTACTTACCCACTCTGTCCTGGGCCTTTCTTTCTAGTTCTATCCAACTGTTGTCCATTCTTCTCATGTCTGTTTCCATTTCTCAGTGTAATATGTTCTTTGGTCTTTCTCTTATAAACTAAACTATTCTAATTTAAATTAAAGATCAAAGTATTTCGTTTCATTTCTTAACAAGTACATGTTAAATCTCAAAAATTTGTTACTATATACTATAAACAACACTAAATAATCTGATCAATAACTACTTTTTTATAGCATAGATTAGTCGTATATAGCAATCGAATATATGATACTTATTTCGCCTCATTTCGGACTCGTCAATCGAACGTACTTGCATCCGAGTATTGATGTTCACAGCTGGACTCGAACCAAGCACTATTCACTTTAAACACTACTAATAATAATACTAATAAAGACTAATAAAAATTCATCACTGAATGTCTGATAAGTCTACTACTTGATTATCACTAATACGACATACGGCTTCGGCACTTGAACATGTAGAACCCTCAAGTTACAAATCAAAAAGCAGAAGAAAACTGGGGAAGCGTCTACTGAAGTGATTGCTAACAACAGACGTATTTATAATTTTTGGTATAGGCTGTAATCTGTATTTTAAATGTTCTTTTACTTGCCCTCTAGAACTCCTTTGGAAATTGTCTTTCACTTAGTCACATGTCAGTCCGTCCTTTATGGATAGTTCTCTCTCGTCCCTGTTAAGGAGGAGATCTTGTCGTGGTATTAAAAGAAAGGAAGATCTAAAAAAACATCAGACGTAAAATTAAACACTTACTGCTTCGGTTTGGGCTCCCAGGCAGTATCACAGCCCACACACAAACCAAGTGATTTGTGTGACGCATATGTATTCAGTGCCCTTTTGTACCAATATTTATGTTCAAATAAATAAAATGGGGAATTATTGGCAGTTTCTAGAAAAAATGTCTCCAGATGACTAAGAAAAATGTTTTGATTAATCGGCGGTTTTTATAAAATTTCAAAATGACTGGAAAATAACTACTTTTATCTCTTATTCTAATCTATTTAATATTGCATTCACTAACAAGCCTATGATCTTACCCCAGAGCTTCTAAAATCTCAAGGTCACCCGTAATCCTGTAAGTAATCTTGTTTTCTGTACATAGTCTAACCTTCGAGGGAAATCTTCTATATCTCTAACCCTTTTTAATTCTCTGTCAAAGTTGTAATGAGCTAGGAAGCAATCAGAAAATTATTATTTGAAGAACTTCAGAATTCAAGTCTCATCAATTGTAGTTGAAATCAATCTCTATTTATAAGTGTAAAATCTGGCCATATGATATATGTGAAAGTGAGCCGGTCATCATTGTTGGAATTGATCGAACAAATAGTACAATGGTAGTAAAGTAACGGATCCTTGCACCAATTAGTCGATCTCCTTTGCAGTTATGAGTAGGCCACACCTTATCACTGTCATTTATCCATTAGTATTCCGTTAATAATTCCAATGGCCCAAACGTACTCCTCCTCGTGACAATTCCCTAAGACTCCATAACAGCACCTTGACATACTATTAACGGTCGTTTGCTGGTAACTAACTTGATATCTGGTTTCTTAGCGTGGTAGTAGAAATCTGTTGCATAAGGATTGTGACATAGGGTCAATAGAATAGTAACTCATCATTTACATCATAAATGAGAATAATACTTTATCTTGAATAGACCAACACTGGAAAACATGAATCATTAGATTAGAACTCTAACTAAATGACATTTTCCCCACTCCAAAACATGGATGTAGGTTTAATCCTGGGGGTGATGTTCTAAATCCAACCCATAATTGCTATCTAATCTTCATTGGTCTTCAATAGTTCTTCAGCTGATATTGAGTTTGTAATTAAAGTTGCCTACATCGAATCTCAAATTAAACACTTGAAATGGCTTTGAACATAAAAATACGAAACAAGATCATCCTAACATGGCTTCCTATGGAATATAATAATAATAATAATAATAATCACAATATAACCTAAGTCTTAAAGTTGTATCATGGTTTCTTTTTTACAGTACCTGAAACCACCTCTCAGTCAGTCAGAATAACATCAGTCTTGTAAATTTATTATTATCATACTTATCTTAGGTTATTGTTTTCTTGCTGACTATATCTAATACATTGTAATGTCAAGCATTTAGTCTTAATCGGTGCTTGTGTATGTGTACGTGCATGAGGGGAAATTATACTTGCAAATTTTAGATTAGTTTTTCTTGTTTCTTTACTTTTGTAATTCTTTTAGTTATATGGGAATCAGATTTTTTGGATTATATTCACTATCTTCTTTCTAATTATGAGCGTTATATTAACTGTTGAGATTTATTATATGGGTCAGTGGAATATTGGTGAGTTGAATATTTAGTCTTAATTTTATATATATTCTGGGTCATATCCTGGAACATCTTCAATCATTGGTCAAAATAAACGTTCTAGGCTCAACCAGCTAGTCTACATCTACCAAGGCGGCTTAGTTCGACAGTCACTGACTTCATGGACTGATGCTGTCATGGTTGGGGGCCTCTAGCTTTCTTTGAAATTAATCCTATATAATTATACATCACCCATTGTGTTATGTTTGAGACGTTGATCGATACCACTTTCTAAATTTGCCAATCAGAAATCTAGCCACTATTTTTATACTCCCACGTACTTTATTTCGGTTCGTACTATTTTGACCCTAAGCTCTGACTAATAACATGCTTCGACTGGCAAGTTTAAACTTTGAATTGAACCGAGAATAATCCTAATTTGCTGGTTCATTGATTTCCACTCTTCGATTCAACAAGAGAACAGAGTAGTCATACTTTTTTTGAATATTTCAGGCACCCGGAAAATATATCTCAAACACATTAGTTTACGTACATGAATTGTCATACCACAACACGCGCCACATATGAAATCATACTTCTACATACAACCATCCCGTAAGTGACAGAGTACGGGGAGAATGGTACATAATTAATCAGCAATAATTAAGGAATAATGGTGGGGGTGCTAGATCCCCAGAAATCACTTGTTAAATATCTTATTTTTGTAATTTTGTTTTGGAAACTCGAATTTCTAGTTTTCGTGCCAAAAGAGCCCATTTATACGTTCAGATTGTATTTCCCACTTCTCCTTTTGGTTAACGAGTCTGGGATGCATTGGAAATAGTTGAGCTGTTTTTTCGTTGTGTTCCATTGACTGATATTTAGGGGATCTCATAATTTCTTCAAACAGCAAATAATAAATCGTATAACTATAGTTAATAAATCTAGTGGAAGCTTACAATAGGGAGAATATAGAAATACAATAGTACAGTTACCTACTAATTATACAATAAAAATGTAAATGATAATAAGTCCTTTAAATAGTCACCAAAGTTATAATGTCCTTAATACCTGCCCCGTCATAACACGTTGAGATAGATTTTGAGAATGTACTACTCTTCCCAACCACATACATATTGCATTTTTTTATTGTGAGTTATTTTGATTGTTGCCAGTTTGATTTTTTTTTAGTCGGCTAACTCATATTTTTTTAAAGAGATTAAACTTGACATTTATCTATACGAAGTGTTCATTTAACATTAGTATGGCCTATCAAATAAAAAACCACTGACTTTTGTGATGGAGTGAATTTTAATTCATACATATTGGCTGTTTGGATTTTTCCAGAGTGAAAATCAACTCTAGGACGCAGGTACATTAAACTGCTGAGTCCCAACGACGACTAATAACGCGTCCTGGATTCCAGTGCTAGCCCCCATCCATCTCTACTTAAACTTAAGAAGTCACTAGTTGTAAAAAATTTCCCATTATAGTCTAACTTTAAAAAATTTATGCATCATTTTATACTTAGTTTTTGTGTACAAACTTTTATGTTACTTAACTAGGGAAGTTGTACCAATAGACCACAGTGTGTTTGCCCTAACTGATATTATTTTTGATTTTATAACGTTGTTATTCGTCATTATGTACTTCTTTAAACCACATTTCTCTTCTCTGTTTCTTTTTTCAAGATTTATGCCTTCCAAGACGTATTTATTATTTAATTCGTACAGATGGAATTGGTTGTCTTCGTCCAACTTATTTAGAGCGTATGCTTCTTTTACTTATTGCTAATCTAGTTAATTTCACCTTGTAAGTTTTTAAGAAAAACGTGTTTGTATTTCATTTTACACTCACCAATTTATTGAATTTCATAATATTTGATGATTAGAAGCATTTGTTTCGCGTTCAACTTCAGTTGCGATATACACTCCTTATGGTATACCAAACTCACATTTTTATTTAATCAATTTATTATATGACTCCATATTAGTAGAAAAACATGAAACAGTTTTTCTATTTTATTCTAACTTATTTACTTTGTATTTGCTGATTCAACACATCATCTTATATGTTGTTTATGTTTAAAAAATGGTATAGATCAATTTAATGTGAATGTGTATCAGTGCCTCGAAAATGGCTAATGTCTATCTTTTCTTTGTATTGAGTTCCAGTGAAAACAATAACAGAGAGGCGATAATAACAATAAAACTCAATCAGATAGAATCATATTCAAATGACGAAATATAAATTGTGCTTCCAACTGTTACTTCTCATGTGACACAACTGAAAAAATGTCTACCATTCATTTTTGTATTGGTTGTTTGAATCTTTCCATTGATGTCTATGACTGCAATTGATCAGTTTCTTATCGGCATATGTGTATCCTGTGCGTATTGCCTCGTTATTACCTTAAGTCACAATCATTATAAGCAGAAATAAATAGTGGCTAGCAGTGGAATCCAAGGCGCGCGTCTCGTCCTATTTTGGACTCGTCAGCTGGGGTGTACCTGCATACCAAAGTTGATGTTCACTCCGGGACTCGAACGTAGTACCGTTCACCTCAAACATCCACTTTGCTACTGAGTCCAGATAGCCACTTGCTTGTGTAATGGAATGAAGTTTAATTCATTTTTGCATTAGCTGTTTCCCGATAAGAGACTGATCAATTGGAGTTCTAAACATCAATCGGATTATAAAGTTAATAACCACTACAAGATAAGTATTCAATAAATGGTCATTGTCATTATGTGATTGAATCATATAGGTAATTGATTATGTTACTCTGTAAACAATTTAAATAGCATGTATAACACCTTGGAAAAACAGTTTGATCATTCGGTAATTATAAACCGAGCAGCCGTTAAAATAAATATGATTAATGTACCGATATTTGATGATATAGACCAATAGCTAGATGAATTATGTAGTAGAGATAGTGTACATTTTTCGAAGGACACTGAAAAGATAAGTGGAGGGATCCTATAATGGACACATTAATATCTGGATTCTTTAAATGTCTTTTTAAATATCTTGGTCAGTCATTATCAATATAGACCCAGGAATTATTATGTGTTAACCCTAGTTTCCATACCAAACTAACATGGCGATAAGATCAATAACAAGTGAGAAGGAAATAATGTAGTAGCAAGGAAAGTCAGAAAGACTCAGCACTGAAAATGTGGTTTGAAATACTGAGTGTAAAGGTAGGTATATATACAGGAATAATGGAACTAAATATCGAAAGGAAGACAACAGGTGAATACATCTTCAGCATTGTGAACGATTGTGAGCCATATCACCCAGTCGTCCAACGATTGATCGCGGTTATCACTCGAACCTCAAGCATATTGTCTACATTTACCAACACTCCTCGGATTAACAATCAATAACTTCATAGTGATTCCACGTCTTTGTTTGAACTCAGATATTTTAGATCCAGTTTTAGTCAGCTGCTTAATTATATTGTTTCGTAAAGTTAATAAAACTAGTTGCTCTGAATTGGATCTTAAATTAGCAGATGCTCTGATTACATGATTTAGTGAGCATTAAATAATAAAAGCACCCACTATAGGTCACTAAAAACGATAGAATTACCCTATTTCATTTATGATAATATAAATGGATATTAGAGAGGTGCCTTGTCGATTAATACACTGGATATCGTAGCTACAAACACTGACTCATCAACTTTTGTTTTGACACCACATTACTAACTATCATCACCTACCCATCACAAACACAAATAGTAAAGAAAAGATTTATAGAAATGAAAATTTGATAAGTTTATTTACTTAATCTCTCTTAATCAATAAGAATATGAAGGTATATTAGAAATTTCTTTAGAATTGTTAAGACTAGGGTTTTTGTTTTTACTTGAATCACTATGGTTAGACTCTTGGCGACATGGCTCAGAATCGATCACAATGGCGTAGGTGTATACACTCTTTGTCTTCCCTTAAACTAAGAGATTAAAATCACTTCATATCTTTCTTACTACGAATTAATTCTTTTTTCCTGTACTATATCCTTATATGAAATCTTTCTTTTATATATTACCACCTCTAAATTAACTACTTTTATGAATCCGGTGTTCACCTTGTTGTGTTAATGAGGTATGGCAACTTGGACCGATGCATATATGTGCCTGGTCCTGCGTTGTAGGTGACTGACTAAGTCACTATAGACTTTGATGTGTAAAAGATGAGCTTGAATTCTAATGAAAAGATTTGCTGGTATATGATTAATTAACTTTGAAACATTCAGTATCGGTTCTCTGTGGTTAATTGTACGTGTGTATCTTTGTCATGCCAAGTTTTATATGTAATTAGTAATATGTACCATACCATATGTTTTCTGTTTACAGAGCCGGTTATGGCATAGTCAAACGACCAAGAGATTTTTCTACTTTTTTATTATCAATATTTATGATCAATTTATTGATGTACACATTTTTCTATGCAATTATGAAAGTAAGCAATTAATTGTGTAATTAAATTTTCAAAAAGGGCAGTTTTTTCAAGCAAAATTTAAGTTTATTTTTCATCACATATTGACTGTGTTGTATACTGTTTTGTTTAAGAATCAAAGATGATAAAATATATCAGTATAGGGTCGTGGAGATTATTAAGTTTTTAATTGAGATCATGAACCCATTGATGTTAGACCACCTTTGAAAAGGTGGACGTACTGGACAGCCGTTTCGTCCTATTGTGGGACTCCTCAGCAGTGCGAATCCACGATCCTGCTCGCGAAATATACCTCGTGAAATATACCTTAGAATAGTGGCGAACTTGAACCGATCTATATACATAAAAGTTCTACGTTGTGACTAACTGAGTGTGATGTACCTTTAAGAAGTGCTCGTTTGACGTCTTTTACTGTTAATTTTGACAGTATTTAGCATTTAATTAATAACAGATTTACTAGTGTCAAGAAGTATGTTAACATACTCTATCATTGTGCACGAAAAATATCTCGCGAATTTATTCTAATGTGTTTAGGTTTCTTTTTTGTATGTTGAGTATATCTCAGTCATCCAATCTTTTACGAGCCATGCTTCAATAAATATCATTATCGAATTTCTATGATGTTCACATGTTTTTATTCTTTGACTTCAATGTTTTAATTGTTCAGTAACACATTAGAAATTGCTATATGATACACTCATCTTGATTTTTAGCCAAACATTCACCCCTACCATAACTAACGTAATTCAGAAAATGTCGAATAAGTCTTTTGTTATTCCTAGGTGATCGAACCACTAAAGCTAACAGAATTTTCTAAATCAATGAATTAGTCTACATTCAACTATCCAACTCCATGTCGTAAAACTAGATATCGAACAAAAACCATCACATTTTCTTAATTTCCGGTCCGTATCTCAGATAAATAATTACAAACACATCGATTACATATTTCATAGTTATACACTTACAAATGTAACAGGGTTGCTCTGTTACCTTGGATTTGACAAATAAAAAATTGACCATCTTTTTTTAAATTTTGTTTTGTGTTTAAAGTACTTTGAATCTACTCAAATTTAGATTTTCCAAGTATATCGTTACATTTATGTGATCATTGCTTGATTGCTTTTTTCTCACTACTTCCTAGTCCATAGATCATTATTTAACATATTAATTAATTTTATGTCATCTTGTTACCGAATCATATTTTGCATATATGATTGCAAATTATATATATACGCGCATGTTTTATCAGTCATATTGTTGTGAACGAAAACACGAGTGGGGACAACCAATGTATGTTTATTACGAAATTACAGAATGTCTTGGTAAAATATGAGAACCATACACTGAGTATTTCATTTGCAAATGCCCATCATTTGGCCTTCATACTCTGTATGATTCTTCCAGTTCACAATTGCTTTTTTTATTCGCTTCAGCTCGATCTTCTTAGCTTTTTACTACCAGGTTTTTCACTTCCGATTGGTGTCACATACTACTTATTTCGACAGACATAAGTAGCATACACCACAATATGATCTCATGGGTATTTACTGTACATGGGTGATACAGCTGTTGTTTTCTTTCAGACAATGTCAAATACACAGAAATTTTACGTTAGTACATGAAGGTAGTTGTGCTCATTAAAAAAATAATCAAAGGTGAATCAACGTAGATTTTAATCTATAGTTGCGTAGTGTGTGCTACTGATGCCGACAGATATGTTATGGATGCTGAGGAATAATGTGCCAATCATTATCATGTTAAGTCTAATGATGTCCTTGGACTCTAAATGGGCATTTCCTATTGGCCATTATTTATTTCACTCTTTAAATATTGTACAGATGTTGTTTTCTATTTTTATGGTACGATGTGGTCTGTTTGGTTAGTATATAAATAGAGTATGTCTGAAATATAATGATTCATAACTCAGAGGCGGTGACTTGCGTTCTAGACTCAACTGGCTGGGCTAGACAGGGAAGCGGGACCAATCGTGACTCTAGGTCGTCCTTACGTGTCACTGATTCGATCGATAAATACGCACGCGCATTTAACCTGCAGTCCACCCGTTACAACAAGATATAAGTAGTATGTGTCACCAATGGAAAGTGGAATGCCTGAATGCAGAAGATTGAAGAGAAGAGAACGAGAACAGAGAGTGATTGATATGGAAATGAAGAAGAAACGAAGTCTAAGACAATTGATGGACATTTTGCAAATGAAGTATTTACTGTATTGTTTTCAGATTGTACTAAGAGATTCTGTCAATTTATATTTAAATATATTGGGTTGTTCCCATTAGTAATCTCGTTCAGCACAGTTGTACTAATACAATTTCAAATTTGTTTCTGTGGATCCATTGAATTCAGATAAAAAGATCGGAAATCTACTCTGGTCATTTCATAAACATTTTCTATATTTCAATACTTCAGATATTATTCCATTTAAATCAGTTTTCGGCTTTCTTCACATGTCCATCGTTGATGTTACTGATATGATGTTAACTAATACATTTAATGGAAATCTGACTGTTACCGATATTATTATTGATCGTTTGCACACGTCGGTAAATCTACTTTTATTTAGTGATTCAGTGCGTGTTTCTGTGATGACAGCGCTGTGTTCTAATCTGATGTTTATTTCGTGTTTACTAGGTCAGGTCAACAACTCTGCCTGGAGTCTTTCCGGGGGCTACTCCCGGTCCCAAACCCGGATAAAGGAGGAGGGTTGGGTATGGGGTTAGCGACCCCATCCCGTAGAAAACTAACTCGCTAAAAAAAATGCTAGCCAGAAAAAAGGAAGGTCAGGTCAACGACCACTGAATGATGAGATGCCATTTTGTTATGACAATCCAGCATTTGAAACTGTATACTGTACTTGACAATTATTAGGATGTGTTTACACCAAATCTTCAATTTAATGTATAGTGTAGAGACTGGGACTGACATATATCTGTCATTTTTCAAATTATTTATTCCTATAAGTAATAGTTAACTAAATCAGCTCTTACTTGTCATTATCCCATAATCACGGTTGTCCGCGAAGTTTAGAAAAATGTTTGTCTTTGGTTTGTTGTGCTAAAAAGTCACTTATCAAATTGAGTTGAAACGTTCGCCTTCTCCTCTTGCTTCGCTTAGTTTTCCTGTTTCTCATCCTAATGTCTGTCTGCATGAAATAAACCAATCCAACTTAATTTATACATGGCTTCTAATTCCCTCCGTCGTTCAAACGAAGTAAGTCTAAGTGGAACATATGGTATTAAACGGAAGATTTGTTTTTCATGGTATATTCACTCATTTGTTCAAATTTGAGTCAGATCTCGAGCCACTAAATGTTTATTAGATACCATAATAGTTTCACTATTTATAATATTTTTTTAGAATTCTCATTCATTTCGAATCTAGAGTCATTGATGTTGTTTTAGTGACGGATTGCGTTGTTTACAAGTTACCCTTTACTTACTTTCCGCTTACTCCTGTTACGCCTAACAGAGCATAGGCCGCCGACCAGCATTCTACAACCCGCTCTGTCCTGGGCCTTCCTTTCCAGTTCTGTCCAATTTTCGTTCACTTTTCTCATGTCTGTCTCTATTTCTCGACGTAATGTGCTATTTGCTTCTCCTCTTTTCCTTTGGCCTTGAGGATTCCATATGTATAAATTACCCTATTACTCAGAATAATGGTTTCTATTATACTAGCCCTACTTCTTGTTTATTACTGGATAATTTCAGTAGTTGAAATCATGAGTCAATTGAAGTTAGGCCGCCATGGTAAGCCTGAAAGCACTGGACGGCCGTTTCGTCCTAATATGGGACTCCTCAGCACTGCACATCCACGATCCCGCCCCCCGCAAGATTCGAACCCAGGACCTATCAGTCTCACGTGCGAGCGCTGAGTCATTAGACCACTGAGCCGGCATCCAACGGTGTTGATGTCTAACTTCAACCAATCCACCGTACATCATTGTCTTCAGTGGATACGTTTTAAATGATATTACTTAAATTTGCTTGATCGAATCATCACAGTAACTAAAACCTACCATAAGCGGTTAAGTAAACATTCAGCTAACCCCCCTTTCTTTATCTAATCTAGTTTCATTCTAATTGAAATAAGAAGAGTGTAATAAGATAGATGGTAGAATACATTGTGATTAATGTTCAATTGAGACTCGGTAATTATGTAGACCTCTTAGTCCAGTTAAAGTTAAGCATCAGACAACTAACTAATCCAGAAGAAACTTAAATATCAAACCCTGTTTTTTCTTAACTTCACCTATCATTCCCATAAACAAACCTTGTATTATAGTTTGATATCTTTGAAGCATTTAATGGATCCTAGTTGCTTTGTAAGCTCATCTTATTTAACAACAAGAAAAAAACTAACTCCAATTTGTACTCTGAATTATGATTTATAGCGAAATCAATTAATCTATGGGAATAATCACCATTTACATCTCAATATGTTTCTTTTCTGTTAACTATATGCATTATTTTCAATTAGATTATAAATTTCAATGGCTGTATTTTAGTTTTCACTGAATTTCTTTTTTTTTTCCCTTTTCAAGTTAAGACATCGTGAACGCTTTCAAATGTTATCATTAGTATATATTTTACTAACTTGTGTGTCTTGGGGTTGTGCAATTTATTTTTATTTTAATCGAACAACCACATGGGAAGTAAGTGAATTAGTAATTTTTTTATTTTTCATATATTGAATACAATCCTAATAAGGACTTTAACTGTTTATATGGATATTCTATTAGAAATTCAGGTAAGAAAAAAGTTACTCCTTAAGTACGTCGACTACAGTTTATCATTGTACAGCGCAGATCACCAAGCCACATGCACACAGAGCAATTCTAGAAGAAACGCAAAATGCCAGTGAATGTGAGTGAACACAGGGATCTAAGAGTTGAATGTATCAGTAAGATTCAAGTATATATATTGTTATATCTAGAGCTTAAATTCTTGCTCTACCGCGTACTACTTGAGCACTCGAACGCTAGAACCCTCCAAGTCGCATGTTAGGACACAGAAGACGAGTGAGAGGGAATGTTATTTTAAACAGTGTCAAACGTGGTACAAAACTCTCAAGTAGTTACAGTTTTTAATAAAACGGAAATCACCATTACAGTAATCGAATCTGAATACAGTAGTTTCTGGCATTTGTCTAATAGGGAAGCTACACATCGAGACTCTAGAATGTTCTTCTAAAAGATAATTGGATAGAATTTCTTTGGCTCTTTCTGACTTTCCTTGAGTTCACTCGGGGGCCATCCTCATATATATATATATATATAAACGAATGAGTCACCGAGAGATTTAAGCTAGTAAAAGGGATATATTTGTATTCTGTAACAGGAGTAACAGCATACATGTTCAGACAGACAGACATAATAATAATAATACAAAGAATGGATAAATTATTACCGCTCAAATCACACTGTCTGTAAAATAAACTAATTGAAGTATTTAACACAATGAAACGTGTTACACTCTGTATAGATATAACCACAGTTGAAGAAAACTGTTCAGAAATGACGTTTCAAAACAATGAAAAAGCTTTTGTTTTTTCTAACATAGTCACAAGCTATGTGCCATTGAACCAAAATATTTCATATTGAATGATACAAATACAAATACAGTGAAACTCATACACGTTCCATACCATTATCAAATATTCATCAATCAAATAATTTAGTGAAAATCATTAGTTAAAAAGATTTATTTAAATAAGGCATCATTTTCTCCAGTCAATGAAACTGAGAATCAATATTGTTATTGACCTTGGAGCGAATTGATTTTGATCATTGTTTATAGTTTTTCCATGCACAATAAGCAAACACACATTCAGAGAGAAGCGAAGACATGGAGAAAGAAGTTGATCAATTAGATAATTCAGTGATAGAAAAACAACGATTTCAAATGTCCTATATGTTATTTGTTAAATGATTGAAATACAACAGAATTTGGTTAAATTACATTATGGATACCCATTTGAATACTTTTAAATGTGTATCCAGTAACAGCCCGTTTAATATATAACAAAAGATCTTTATGGAAAATAGTATAATTTTAGACTAGATTATTAACAGATATTCTGAAGAAATGATGAATCAGCGAAATTTTATTACATTCGTGTTGTTAATCTCTTTAAGTAAATTAACGTTTTCTTAATTACTACTAATGACTTTTTTTAATGTATAAGTCTTATTTGCTTCAGAATATAGTAAAATACTTCTGTTAAGCACTTTTATCTCAGCTCTGACAAGTCCAAAAGCACCGGATGGTCATTTCGTCCTAGTACGGGACTCCTGGGCAGTACGCATCCACGACCCCGCACGCAAGACTCAAATCCGGGACCTTCAGTCTTGCGCGTGAACTCTCTACCTCTAGACCACTGAACCGGGATCCAGTAGTGATAATGTCTAACTTCAGTCGATCCATGATCTTACACAACCCTCCATCCATTGTCTGAAGTGGATAACTGTCTCACACCCGACACTGGTCACGGATTCTCACTAGAATCGTGAATGTGCACTTCTGAGAAGTCCCATACTAGGACGAAATGGCCGTCTAGTGCTTCTAGGTTTTCAATGGTGGTTCAGCTTAGATCGACTTTTGGACTCAGCTACGAAAATTTGCAAATTAGGATGTCTGAACACTTACGTGAACGAATGCGAAAACAAATGAAATCAAGCAACTCATTAAGAGTCCTCTATTGCTAAACATAGTTGAAACAGGTCATAGTTTTGATGTTAACTCGGCTTTTGCTGTTTTGTACAAAAGTGTCCAAGGGTGTGTATACTTATGTTTATTGGAACCTTGTGACTTAATGGGAATGTTGAGGCAATCCAGTCCGCATATATGCTGAAAACGGACTGATGAACTGCAGTCCGAAACATCAATGAGAAGATTCAAAAGAATTATCGATGTTGGTAGAAAATCTTTATTGTTGTTTATTTTAGATACTATAAAATATTAGATTAGTTGCTCACTTGAAAAAATAAATTACGACACATAGCTTTCAGACTTGTCACTAGTATTAAGAGCTTTCATGCTAATATTATAATCAAGATTTCAACTGAATCTAAATGACCTAAACTGTTGTAGTAACTTACAAATTTTACACAGAACTAAATAGCTTCAAGTTTCTTTTTGTATTTCATTACAGAACTTTAGATTGTATTAAAGATAACAAGAGGTACAGATAACGGAGCGTTAAAAAAGTAATCAAATAGTAAAGATGTAAGATATGCTCAGTAGAGAATATTTCTAAATTACTATGGTCAATTTCAAATGGATATCATCGACAATTAATCCATTACATCTCGAAGACTTCGGTCACATATAATTTAATACAGATTAGATAACTAACTTAATACGTTTAGCCTGATCACCATTAAGTCTTTATCAAATTGATTTTAGTTCGTCTAGAATCATAGTCACTAAGGAGAAGAACCTATCATGGTTAACTCAATAGTTCTGTGTTACCAATCTTTCAACTTTACTAAATATTTCATTACTCAGTAGAATGGTTTTATCAGAAACAAGTGATTATTTGAAAGTTCGATTGCTTAAAAATGTCTGTGACCTTTATTTATTTTCCACCTTCAACAGTAGTGTTCTTTAAGTTAGCAGACAGTAGTGTTATTTTCTTGATATTCTTATGGAGCTACAAATAACATGTTCAGTTTTGTTTTAAAAACCTTTTATGACGCTTAAATTTCATAAAATATCTAGCAAAACAGAAGACGTGTACTCAATACAACTCTCTTTATAGAGGACATCTGTGCGTCTATTCTAGTACTTCGTATGCAAATTAGCCGGATAACCATTATCACGACGATTCCCATCTGTGTATGATCTTCAGAAAGTGAAACAAAATAGTGAGAATAATTTATTTCAGACATAAATACGTAATAATACATGCGTGAAGGTTACCAATATGGGATATTGATAAACTGTTAAAGTTTAGAGTAACACAATCTACCAAACGAGCTCATCTCAATGTTTAGTTAATTTAAACATGTACAAACGGATGATATTACTATGTCATTGTTATCAAATGTTAACAGACTTTTTTCATAACTGGAATGTTTTTTTTACAACAACTAAGCAAAACTGTAACGTACTTGGTTTCAGGTAACTCCTGCTCGTTCTCGTGCACTTAATCAACCTTGTGTTTTATTGGATTTCTATGATGCACATGATGTTTGGCACTTTTTATCTTCAATATCTATGTTCTTCTCATTTATGGTAAATTCTTTAGACCAATATCCGATGTTTTTCGTACTCTTTAGTCTTTTTCCTTTAAGTATTTTCTCACTAACTTAGTTTTTATACTAAATAAATATTTATTTAGTATAATGAGTCAAATCAATTTAGTACATAGTTTGATATATATATAAATATATTGTACTAATTTTCTAGGCATTATTTGTTTCAACATTGAAAAAAGGTAGTAAAATAATACAAATGAAAACTTAAAATTAATTGTTGTTACGGAATAAGATTACAGGTATGTATACCTTGCTGATGACTGCCAAATAGCACGAAACCTAGGTTAAGCACGGTATCATATAAACTACCTTCAACCACCTTAGAAAGTCTGATATTGTTATGTTGTGATCCTAGTTTCCATGTCATATTGAGATGACAAGATGAAGATGATGTAATAGCAATCGGAATTAGAAAGACATAAGCATTAATAATCTGGTTTTAAAAAACTGAGTGTAAAAGTAGGTATATATGAAGGAATACTGGAATTAAATATCGAAAGGGAGAAAACGAGTTAATACATCCTCAATATTGTGAACGATTGTGAGCCATATCACCCAATTGTCCAACGATTGATACCAGTTATCACTTAAACCTCAAGCATATAGTCTGCATCTACCAACATGGCTCAGAACAACTGTCAATAAAATCATGGGCTGGACTACATTTTAGTTTGACTTCCCTTAGATTTCTTCTAGTCTACTCATACTGCAGATAATATCGCACGTCTAAATAGACGGTTAAGCAGACCTAGCACGTTCCCTAACCACCCCAATGGATGAAGATTCGTAACCACATTATCCGGTTTGCCACCTATTTTAGTACCGTATGCAACGCTTCAGGGACACATACCAAACACCTCCAGATTAAACATGTTTCCTGTTTTCCATAAACTACGTTTCATAGTCATGTAATTGTACACAGTAGACTGCTACACGGTGTAGTCTACCTTTGTTTGTTAGATGGACATCTCACCTATACCGCATGTGATGTAAGTTGGGTAAAGCTAACTGAAAATTATGAATTGGTGCTGAGATTTCGTCAGACACCACCTCACTCGGAGTGCTAAGCCTTCCAAAACAAGTGAAGTGATAAACCTGCTTCACTTTTTATCATTAGTTTAAACATTGACACAGACCTGTCCTAAAGCAACGTGTTACACTCAGATTGAAAAAAATCGGATCCCAAAGATCCCAGTATTATTGCTCGGATCGTGTAGTGTGATCGATAAGCGAACCCACCAATGATAACATGAAACGCCCGCCATCACATTAATTTTCCTTGACCTTGTATGACTATGCTTTGCCTATTCGCTGAACATCATTTTGTTTATTATGAACGATATTAAGTTCGTTGACTCATTTTTGTTATGCTATAGTTACTGTTCAAAATAGATAGTTTTTCAAGCCTAATAGCTTACTTGTTCTGACTTTGGCTAAGCTAAGACTCTGTGCTCGCCAGTCTAGGAAATGTTTTAGAATTACATCTGTAAGACAAATTAAATTCTACAGAGCGACCAGATGACTTTTCTTGATAAAAACATAATACTGCTGTTCTGCTCAATATATTTAATCACTAAAACTGTCATGCTGTTTTTTTCTCGTAATTTTAGTTAATAATGTACATGGACGACGATCTCTCAAAACGTCCAAGAAATCAGATTTTTGTTTTTTGATCACTAACTACTACAACTATGAAGTTATTGTTCATAGATATGATTATGCAATGAAAATATTTCACATCTGTAAACGCTATATAATTATCCATAATCAGACAATTTTTATTGTAACTAACTACTTTACCATTATCATTTGTGAATTTTTAGTGATTTTCTTCCCATTAATTTTGTTTGTCCATCTTTTGTGTTTTGAGTATGTTTCCATTTTTGTTTGATTCAAACTTATTGTATAGGATGTATTGAAGTGGATAAAAGAATCTACATATAAACATAGATTTTTGCAGAAACATAGTTCATTAATCAATAATTACGTAATTATTCAGGCAAAGATCGGTCAGCACCATTCAGTTTTAGGATCTATGTTGATTGTGATTGGATCACTGTTTCCAGTCAATCAATATGAAAAAGTCTCTGGTCTAGACTTCGTAATGTTGGACGCTTATCAGCAAGGCGTATGTGTGCTTTCAAAGAGCTGATATTTACTTGGTGATCCCAATATTCAATTAATCCCCTACAAATTGTATTGAGAGTGCACCGATAGGTTACTCGTTGCTCACTTAAAATCATAATGAAGTAATCAAAAATTCCCCGTTTTTAACATTTAAAAGTGTAGAATTATTAATCTGGAAAAAAACTCAGTTTAATAATGGTAATAGTCGAAATGATAACCAGTTAAATGTAATAATTCAAAAGTAGTTAATATTACAAACCGCCCTTCCCTAGGCAATCATTGAACCTTGGGAATAATGCTGACAACAACGAAACAACTGTACAGTTGCTTTACTTAGGTCATAGCTGTGGGCTTCTTGACTTGTAATTATTCCAAGATGTTTACGGAGAAAAATCATCAAGACTTTTTAAGGTTCTCAAAAGGTTGAGAAACTGTATTCTTGCATGATTATATTATTATCTAAATAAATTCATATTTTTATAATTAGATTTGTATGTTTATTTAGTGTCAGTAACAGCTAACGGATTTGTAGTTATTTAAGCTTTTAGACACTAAAATGAGATGTTTAAAAGTTCCCTTGTTTATCAAAACCAAAGATGGGATAATCTTCCGAGTTATGCAAGATCAAATAAGTGAAAATGACTTCATATCAATATTAAACATAGACAATTAGATGAAAATGACATGAGAACCCATATCAGTGATATATTTCTTCATAATAACATAGAATGCGGGTTGCAGTGGGATCCAAAACGCGTATTTCATTTTACTTGTGATTGGTCAGCTAGATATATCTGCACCTCAGAGTTGATGCTAACTTTAGAACACGGTCCCAGAACTGTTGCTTAAGATGCCCAAGCGTTGGCGTCTGAAGTGAAAAGTACTGGGACCATGTCCAGTAGTCAACATGAACTCTGAGGTGCAGATATATCTAGCTGACCAGTCACGAATAAGATTGCTATATCCGAGCGAAGATTAAATCACGAGTAACTTCTGACCTATAATTTATTATCGTACGATTTACTGTTCTTAAGCTATGTTCAGTTTATTAACTACTGCCTCACACATTCACAGCCACTTTTTGGCTTTGTTGTGTACAAATATTATTTCCTATTTTATGGTGCGTTGCGGTTTGTTTGTTTGATATATAAACCCAGTATGTCTGAAATAAATGTTTGGATTCGCATAGTGGAATCTGGTATTGGTGTTCTGAACTCAAGTGGACGGATTAGGCGGACATAGGACCAATAAGGACGCTAGGCTGCTCATACAGGTTGAACGTCATGGGTTTGGCACAGCGCTAAGATTGTATAAGTCGTACTTTGATTGGTGGATAAATCACGTGATAAAAAGCCGGACATATAGTCACAACAAACACGAAATGCGCATCCTGGGTCCCACCGCTACTCGCATTCCATATCAATGTGTTGTGATAGCTATATGGAGGTGATCCGTTCAGTATGTGAACCAAAGCTGATAGAATTTCAGTCAAATATTTGCTTAAGTTATGAAGATTTGCATAAAAGGCTTCAGTTATCTATAGTTCTACTGCTGGACTCCTCAATGGTAAATACCTGACCTCATAGGCGATTGAACCTAAAACATTTGATTATCACAACGAACACTTAGCCATTAGAACCAAAGGATCAGGGTACAAAGTTAATCGATTCGTGATGTAGCATGACGACACTCTAATTCCACCAGCGACAACTGCTTCACTTCTAACATGTTTGAATTACATCAGCCACGGCTTCTCACTGGAAATTCAGGGACATCTTCAAGTACATTGGAAGATCTAATTATTGTGGTTTAGTAGAAATCGGTTTAATTTAAAGGTTGTATTCGTCACAAAAGGATCCCTAGTTTTCGATGGTAACCCAACGACGATCAATCTCTGATAAATACAGCTAAAAAATTAAATCAATCTCCACAAAACGCCTTTAATTAATGGGATAATTCACTTCATATTTATATAGAACTAAGTTAAATTATGAGTGACTCGAAAGGAACAAGCATAACCTAACCTGTGATAAATTATATCCCTCCTAACACGAATTGTTGGAGCACCCAATTCGAAAAGTTGTTCGTTCAGCAACTACCTTAATATATTTCAAAAAAGCAGCTGTCAGAAAAATCAAAGAAATGTATAGTTTAATCTGCAAAATACGGATCACACCACACTAATACAATAAAGACCAATATGGAATCAAGATACACGTAAATATTTACGATTACATGTCGTACAATAACGCTCATTTTTTATTTTGACACGTATTAACTAGAACAGCACGATTAGAATAACCTTTGTACAATAAGCTTGATCGCGTTTAATATTGATTGCATACAACTTATATAAATGTATCTTTATCTGAACTTATCAGCTCATATGTAAGGTTAAAAAGCAATACATTAACGGGAAATATTGGTAAATGAATACTGGTATTTTCAGTATACCGAAAACGTTCTTATCGTGACGTGTCATACGATGAATATTTAGCAACTCGTTGGCTTTTCAGAACGTTAGCTTGCTTGTCAGATTCCATGCTAACCTATTAAACAAATCAAGTGGTGGAGTAGTGAAACCACATCAGTTGAGATGGCTGAGACACGTGTTGCGTATGCCCAGTCACCGACTGCCCCGGCTTGCGATGTTTCACGGTGTAGGAGTAGGATGGAAGAAAACTAGGGACAGTCAGATCAAAAAATGGAACAAATCCATGAAGTCACTGACAAGTGGACTGAGCTATGTTGATAGATGTAGACTACCTAGTTAGGATCTGCGAAACGATAGCAACCGATGGTTAGAGACCTTGAATGACATGGCTCAAAATCGTTTGGAATGGCGCAAGTGCATCTACTCTTTGTGTTCTCCCAAATTCTAATCTTCTGAATTCTTCATTTCACTTTTTTCCTCTTTCCAAATTTATTTCACTGGATTATAATCCTTGAATAACATCTTCAAACCCTAATCTTTCTGATCACTGCTTATAGTTTTACTACCTCTACCACTACGGAATTTGAATTAACAATTGTATCTCTGTGCTAATGTGGTATGGCAACTCGAACTTATGTACGTACGTACGAAGTTCTACGTTGTTGATGACTGATTGAAACAGAATTATCGAACATTTGGTCGTCATAAAATTCCGCCCACATACTAGCTTGATACGTCTGCATGGTTCTATCTGGAAACATAAACCAAACCTTCACGTTTCACATACAATAAGAAGCCATTACTCATTGCCTTAGCAAATTACTTACCGAATCTTAATTTGATGTATTCTATCCATGTTTCACTAATAAATTAGTTCTAACTCCTGGATTTTATTATATTTACCGGCATTTTATCAGAGTCGATTAAACGCTTCTAACTTTATAATCCAATTTTAAGAGCATGGCCGTTGCTTATGAGAAGTGTTCGAAAGTTTCATGATTTGTGATATGTTCGTCATATACCATCTGTGAGACGTGACTAAGTCAGTACCTGATATATGTCCTATATTTTAATCCAGATATTTTATACATTGGAGAGTTAGACAGTTGTACCTTTCATCTCAAACGCGCTCTATTTAAAAGGACAGTGGTATTCTTTCTCGTTGAGTTAATTAACTGCTTTGATCGTAAATTACGCATAAAAACTACTGTTTACACTTTAATTGCATCTACCCCAGTTAAAGTGATATTGTATTGAGTTTTTCGATTTTGCTGTTGTGTATTTATTGCATCGAAGCATACTTGGTCAACTTTTACTTGATTTACTTAGTTAAGGTTTGAAAATCCTTTTACATATCCTGTTTTTGTCACCGTTCTAGTTGATTTTCAAGATGGCTAGGTCTGCTCATGAATGTGGACAACCATACTGCTTATTTCCCGTGGATGAAGGGATGCAATGTGATGAGTGTAATAAGTGGTTCCATAAGATGTGCACCCGACTAAGCCCCACTGCATATAAAAAGTGTTCAAAGCCCAACTGTCATTGGCTTTGTAGTTTTTGTTGCTCGAGCAAAACATTGCTTATCCAGGAAGCAATTAGTCTCCTGGTGTTGGCTAATAAGAAGGTTGATGAGGGCTGTACTGATAACATTGGTACTGATGGCGAAGATTGCGTTAGTGTCGTATGTGCTATCACGGCGCAAGCCAGACATCTGCTGTGCAACCCGCAGTTAAACGTTCTCCCCCGAAACGATCAGTGAGTGACACGTCATTAGACGTTGGTGGCCATATTGCTACAGCAGCAACCGGTGACCCAGATAAAACAATTACTGTCCCGAGTTGTTTTAATGTAGACGTTTCGACTGATGGAAAATGGATGACGCGAAAACACCGAAGAGTAGGAAAGATAGCTAAAACTAATGAATGTTTACTTGGTAAGTCCTTGGTGGACTCACAGACCAATCCGCCAAAGTCCCATAGTAAAGCTTCGTCTGACATTGTTGTGAGTCATTCGCTTGACTCCCAGGGCTCTGTAAAAATAAAAAATAATCGTAAGCTACCAGTAGTTAAAATACAAGATCTAACGTCACGGTCGAAAGCTGTGAACACAGTTTCAAAAGAAGCTAAACCCCTCCCTAGTTCAATTATTTGGAATCTAGAGGAGTCGAAAGACAACGACCCTGCTAAAAGGCATGCACATGACCTGCAGTTAGTGGAGTCTGTGGTAAGGAATGTACTACCTGAAGAGGTTTCAGGGGTACATATTACAAAAGTAATACGACTTGGTAAATGGGTTGGAGGCGAGACCCAACCAAGAAGGATCCTGAAGCTGGTTCTCGGGAGTTTCGAAGAACGAGACATATTATTGAAAAACGCACCATAAACTCGTGACTCAAATATCCGTATTCGACCAGATTGGCCGCTTGAGGATCGAATCAAGTGGAAGAATGCTCTTACGGAGTTGAGGACTCGCAAATTAAATGGCGAAAATAACCTTACCATTAAGGGTTTTCGGGTAGTCAGGTCTTGGAAGCCAATGCTTCCGGGGCCTGTGTGGGTAGAACGATTGATTGCCAAAACACCTTAAGTGTGTGCTACACGAACGCTCGTAGTCTTAGAAATAAAGCGTCCGAGCTAAGTCTGATGGTGGAAGAATGATGTCCCGATATAATCGTTGTTACAGAAACTTGGTTCACATTAGATATGGACTCTTCTCCTTTCATTGCAGGCTATATCTGTATTGGAAGTGATAAAGTTTCAAGTCGCGAAGGGGGAGGTATAACATTATACTTTAGGGATCACTTTCGTATACGATCAACCATATCGGAGGCTCATATCAGTGGCACATGTGAGGTAGCATGTTGTAAGATTAAATCTAGAAATGGGTTAGTGACTATAGGGGGATATACCGTAGTCCGTTTTGTCTTGCTGACGACTTTATCCTAAGACACATGTGTTCTTGGAGTATGGCAGAATGTCTCATCATTGGGGACTTCAACGCACCGCATATCAACTGGATAGAGCTTACAGCTCCAGGTAGTGGTTTCGATGGCGACCTTTTATCTACCGTTATTCAGTGTGCACTTGTACAATGTATCACAAAACCGACACATATTGATTTGCAACATGACCCGTCACTGCTGGACCTCGCCCTCACCCACCACTGTGAGGATGTCTTTGATATCCAGCACCTTCCTCCACTAGTGAACAGTGATCACGTTGTAATTCACTTTAAGTTTAGGACACATGGTATACAATTCGTATCTGCTCCAGCCTGTCCCAATATCTGGCGGGCCAATATTCCGGCAATCAGAAACTGTGCTATCTCGAC